ACAGATAATGAACAGATATTAAGTGCTAAATATATACCAAACACTGTGCTAAGTAACTTGGCATAAGTTCCCGTTTAAAACTCAGTGCAAATCTCTGAGATTGACATTAGCACTATGTGGTTTCATATCAGAAAATCTCCACCTAAGTTTAGAAATCATCACATACTATTTTATGTTCAGAAGGGTAAACAGATCAGGCTTGTTTTTACCATCTCAGGGTTACTACTGGTATGATAAAAAGTGTAAGAAGATAAAAATGATTACAAACCATCATACAACAAATGAGCTTAACTATCTATCTCTGAAGAGTACAGTGAAATTCACCAGCAACATTTCTGCTAAAATGTTCTACATCCTGTATATGTTCATGGGAGCAGGAAGGTGGCATGTTCTGCAATATTGTGCAGTAAAGACACAAGGATTGTTGGATGTGTAGCACCTGAGAAAAGTTTTAAAGCATCTGGAGTTTGTAACCAGACTGGTACCAGCATCTAAAAAGATCTTTATTTTCAAGCACTGGAATCTGTATAGTCAATGGTGCTCGCATCTAGAAACAGTCAGTTGTGACTTAGCCTTAAATTTTGAACCTTTTGCTCTCTCTTCCAGGAGTTGGATTCCAATAGCATTTTTCATATTTTAATCAAAATAATCTTGTCTAGGAGGTTGTTTCTCTCATTAGCTTTTGTAAGGGATGCCTGTATAGCTACTTAATCTGCATGCACACTTTTTTTAGTGAGCTAAATGCATTGGAAATCATAGCAGTCATGGTCCCTGAACAAGCCCACTATTTGTAGGGATTTCTGCAGGATTTTCCAGCTTCATTTTTTGGTCTGGTATTTTAGAAGGCTGGTATTTTAACAAACTTTCTACTTTGTCTAAATATATACAAAATCATGCACAAATACTGAGTGTAGGGTAGATGGATTTTCAGAGATGAACACATATTTTGACCAAACACCACTTAGATCTAAAAAAAAAAAAAATTCAAAATCACTCATGAAGATATTCCTTCCCTATAGTAGCTGGAATCCTGTCCTCTACTACCAGATTTGGTTTTGCCAGTTTTTGAACTTTGATGTAATCTACAATCTTAAAGTTTGATTTTGAACTCGGCTTCTTTTACTAACAGTGTGTTTCAGGGATTTATTCAAGTTGTAAATAACAGTAGTTCAATTGTTGTCCTTTCTCTGTAGTTGCCCATCCCATCATGGCGTAGTTTGTTTACTCTCTGTGCATCTTTGGAACATTTTGACTTCCCTACTCTTGCAAACGATGATGTTAAAATATTATATAAATGCTTTCTGAGGTGCACGGTTATGTTGGGTGTATTTATGTGAGAAAATGATGGGTTTCAGGATATAAGTGTGACTGACTTTAGTACATAATACCAAGTCTTCCCATTAATTCTACTATTCATACTGTTATTTGGGAATTTTCCTTGTCCACATCCCTATATATGAACATTATTTTATTTACTTTAATCTTTGTATGAGTAAATAAATTACAGATTAAAAACACAAATGCATAAGACAAATGCACAGCTTAACAAACCATGTAAGTTAAGTACTCATATTTCGTGTGTTGCTTAAGAATATAATTTGGGTAAGGTGTGGTGGTGCATGCCTGCAATCCTAGCACTTGGGAGGAAGATTGTCATGAGTTCAAGGTCAACCAAGGGTACATAATGAGTTCAAGACCAGTCTGAAGGACATATATAGACCCTGTCTCAAAAAAAGAAAAAAAAAAGAAAAGAAGACAAGTCCAGGACTTGACCTCTGCAAGTAGCCAGTGTGGTTGATAATTACCTCCTCCCACAGATTAGTTACTTTCCTTACTTAAAGTGATGATTTTCATGCAGAGCTTTATAGTTTTGTTCCACAAAGCCCATCTTTATACATTACAGTTTAGTCATGTACATTTTAAATTTTTTTTAACTTTACAGGAAAAGAGATACACATAGATATGTAATTTATTTGTGCTGTGAGTTGAGTTAACTTTGTGTATTGTTCCAAAAACGGGTCAAATTCATCTTTGTACATAAGACTATCTTGTTCTTGCACTGTTTGTGAAAGGACTTTTCTTTCTCCATGGAGCCTCATTAGCACCTTTGTAGAAAATAAATTGAGCATATACATGTGGGTCTGTTTCTTAAACCTATTTTATTTTATTAGTGTATTTTGTCCACACTCATTCATGCCAGTATCACCTTGTCTTGATTACTTAGCCTTATAACATCTTGAAATCAAGTAGTGTAAATTCCCAATTCCTTCTTGCTTTTCCAAAATTCTTTGATTATTCTGAATAATTTATATTTCCATATGAATTTTAGAATCAACTTATCAATTGCTAGTTAAACTAACCCTTCACGTTTGGTTTTGATTACTTTGAACGCAGAGAACAATTTGGTGAAAAAAATTGTATATTAACAATTCAGATTCTTCTGACCAAAAAATATATACTTTTATGTAGGTCTTTTTAAAAAAGCTGTGCACATGAATTATATAGAATAATGCATTTCATTGTATTTTTATACATGCATATAATGTAATTTGAGCACGTCTTGTACCTTTTACCCTATCTAGGTCCTTTAAAATGTTTCTCACAAATATACTGCCACTTTGCATGTAGATTCTGCTTTATATTTTGTCAGATTTATCCCTAAATATGTCATGCTTTTGGTGCTACTTCAAATTATAATTTTCATTGTATTTCACTGATTCTTGCTAGTATGTGGAAATACAATTAATATTTGTTGATTTTTTAAATTTGTAATTCTGTTAATTCACTTAGTAGTTTCACAAAAATTTCTTGCTGATATTTTGATTGGGATTGCTTGGAAACATAGATCAATTGGGGGACAATTGACAACAGCAAAAGTGAGCCTTCTCATCCACAATCATATTTATTTGGTTGTCTAGTTTTTCTCATAACTTTGCAGTTCTCTCTATATAACTTTTATCATATTAATCCTTAAGTTTTTAGGATTTTTGGTATTTTCTGCTATTGCAAATGGTACTTTGTTATTTTATCTTGTTTTTGGAATTGTTCTCAATAGTCTGTGAAAATGCAATAAAGTTCAGTATACTAATCATGTATCCTGAAAATATTACAAATTCACTTTTTTGTAAGTTCCATAGAATTTTTTTTTGTTTGTTTGTTTGTTTGTTTTGGTTTTTGGTTTTTCTCCGGTACCGGGAACTGAACTCACGACCTTGTGCTTGCCAGGCAGGTGCTTTTGCCGCTGAGCTAAATCCCCAGCCCCATTCCATAGAACTTTTATTCCTTTCTCCTTCATCTTTTGTCTGTACTGTGGATTAAACTGAGAGCCTTTGTACTGAGCTACATCCCCAGCCCTTTTCCTCTTTCTTCTGAGAAATAGTGGGTGTTGCGTTTTTCTTCTGCGACAGAGACTTGCTGTTATGGTTTGTATCTAAAATGCTCCCAAAGCCTCATATACTTATAGGTGTTGGGGTCACTGGATCACGGGGGCATGGTACTCATCAGTGGAAGGCTTATAGCTCAATACGATGTTGGGAGGTAAAACTTGTTCCAGGAACTGGGTCACTGGGAGTGTGGCCTGGAAGTGTCTGTCTTCCTCCTCCTACCTCGATCTCATTCTGTTTCTGGCTGCCCTGCCATGGACTGTTTCTCCTCCACCAGGCCCCTCTGCTATGCTGCCCTGCTTAGGAGCCAGCCAACAACGAACGGGTCGAAAGCTGTACAGACTATGAGCTAAAATAAACCTCTCCTTCCTTAAATTGTGGGTGCCAGGTGTTTTGCCCCAGCAGCAAAGAAACTAGTAAGACTCTTGCTAAGTCACTAAATTTCCCAGGCTGGCCTGCATTTGTGACTCTTCTGCCACAGGCTCCCAGAATGCTGGGATTACAGGTATGTACTACCACATCAACTCATAGATTGTACAGAATTTTTCTATAGGTCATTTTATCTTCTCATTGTCTATAAATTTATTTATTAGATATAGAAGTATTGATATTATCTATTTTTTATGTATAGGCTTTAGTGATTTGTATCCTTGAGAGTTTTCCATTTCATCATGTTCTCAAACATACTAAAATAATGATTTTCATAATATTTTGTAATTATCAATGTAGTATGTATAGAATCTCCAGTGGTCATCTGTCTGCTTACTGAAATTGATAATCTGAGCTGATTTTCTGTTTCTCCTCTTCTCTTTTTCTTTCTTCTCTTTCTTTTGATCATTCTGATTAGATATTTATAAAATTATTAATCTTTTGAAAAATCTGTTTTTGGTTTTATTGGTTTTTGTCTGTTATTTTTTTGTTTTCTATTCCATTCATGACCTACTTGTTATTCATTTCCTGTTCTCTGCATATACTGAGATTTATTTATTTTCCTTTTTCTAGTTTCTTAAAATGAAAGCTGAGATTATTAATGACATTTGTCTTTACAGCACAAGCTTTTAATGTTACAAACTTTCCTCTAATTACTAATTTCCTTGTGTTCCACATATTTGATATGCTGTGTTTAATTTCTGTTTACTTTATAATTCTTTCTAATTATCCTTTTGATTGCTTGACATAGGCATTCTTTAGAATTTGTGTGCCTAATTTCCATTTGGGAATTATTTTCCTTATCTTTTTGTTACTGATTTGTAATACAATTTTATTTTGAGAAACTCTTTTGCATGACTGATTCTTCTAAATTTATTAGGATTTTTATAGCTTGGACTGTGGTTTGTGATTGCGTATTTTTCCATTAGAGTGCAACATAATGTTCTATTTTGTCAATACTCTCTGCTCTGAAGTAGTGTCTTGGCTGCTGTTCCATGTTTAAGTGAGTTCTATCCCCCTCACCTGCCCTGATTAGGCAGGTGGCTGATTGAGAGTTTCATTGCATTGAACTTCGTTACCTTGCTTCTTAGCATGTCCTGCTTCAGTTTGTGTAGGGCCAGCTCCAGTATAAAAAGCACACAGCTATGTTTTTATCATCCATTAACTATCGCAAAGAAAGTTGCTTACTTGACGAGGAGGACTCTCGGGCAGAATTGGCTCGGGTCTCCTCTGCTGCTCATCTCCCACGTATCCTTTATTCTCTACTCCAAGTGTGTCTCCAGGTGGGCTGTGAGCAAGGAAGTTGAACATGGAAATAAGCCATGGGTTATGATTGTGGTTAAATATAAAAATTAAACTTGTTTTCATTTGTTTGTTTTTGGTTTTTGTCACACTGGCAGTTAAACCTAAGGTCTTCACAGTGAGCTACATTCCTGGCTTTTTATATTTGTTTTGATACAGGATCTCAGTAAGTCACTAAATTGCCCACACTAGACAGTAACTTGCAATTCTTCTGCCTCAGCCTCTCGAATAACTGGGATTAGAGTTTCTGAGAGATTTTTAAAAGCACAGACAATTAGGTTGTACCCTATAACAACTGAATCACGATGTCTTGAGGTAATTTTTTTGAAAGATCCATTGGAAAGTGCAGCAAAGTTTGATAACCAGTAGGATAAGCATTTGTATGTACGTAAAAATTTCACTAACATGCTTTTTACCTGGTCTTCAGCAAAAGACTTAATATTTTTCTATGCTCATTATCCTTTATGGCCACCAAACTTACATATTCTGAGTAGTTATTCCCTTCAATCTGAAATGTACTTACCTCTGATGTTGCTTCAATTTAATACATTTTTGGTAACGAATTAATAATGTGATAGATCCAATACCAGTAACAATCATGAGAATCACGATGACCATGATGGAGATACCTGCAACATTAAAAAAAAAGGGGTGAGGGACTATGCCAAGGCATCACTTTAGGACAATGATACGCTGACATTTAAGGAAGATGTTACAGTACTACTTCTTTCCTAACAGTCTTATGTCCCCTCCCCTTAATATTTTATATAGAATAAAAAGGCCAGAGGTACAAAGTTTCATCTGTATTAGCAATATTCAGTGATATTTAAGGGAAACAACAATCAGCAAGAAAAGTTTTTGTTGTTAATTATTCACTGACTATTAAAGTCTTTTTGTATTGCAGATTTTTAGAGGAAGTAAGCCACAGTTAGCTAAAAGGGGATATATTAATCATAAAGGGCAATTGTAGTAAATTCAACATAGGTCTCCAAACATGCAAAATAGTAAAATGACTAAATAAACCAAATGTTGTGTAAAAGTACAAGAAATACATAGTAAATATGGAAAATCAGGAAAAACGCTCTCAATGGGTAGGTTTTCGATATGTGTGAGATATTATAGTCTAAGGTGCTCACTGGTAACATTTAAGGTCTCTTCCCAGTCTGTAAGTATCTGTTCTTCTTCACACTGGCACTCGGATTCACGACCATCCTCCTGAAGAAGGAATCAAGCACACAATTATATCAAATGAATGACATAGCTATGTTTTATATCTCACTTAGGTTAATGTTAGTTCTACACCAAATACACACACACAGTTTTATTGATTAATGAACTAAACTGCACACCAAAATCAATGTTGTACAAAAATAAGCAAACAAAATCAAAGAAGCAACCTCCTTTGAAGAAAGCCATGAACAAGCTGGGTGTGGTGGCATATGACTATAATCCCAGCACTTGGGAGGCTGAAGCATGAGGATCATTGAGAGTTCAAGGCCAGTCTGGACTAAAAAGTAAGATCAAGGTCAGCCTGAACTGCGTAGTGAGACCCTGTCTGAAAAAGACCAAAAAAAAAAAAAAAAAAAAAAAGCCTTGAACAAGAGAATGCTACTGATGTGTTCAGACAGATGAACAAGACTGTGTGACTTATCATTCTAGAAAGCATCTATGCCTTTCAATGAAAAACCTCTGCTAAAGTTGGACATATCATAGACAAAGTAGCAGATCCCCAGCTTCATAATAATGAGACAATATTGATGGGGGAAAAGGTGGTAGGAGAACGTTTAGTTCATCAGGAAAGACTCTTGGGTCATCTACTGGGAGATAAAGCTAGATGTTTCTTCTTTTCCCCTAACCCAGCATCAGGGTACCTGGTTCTATCTATTAAGATTGGCATGGACATAGTATTCATCTCTTGAAGTTGTTATGAAGATTTCAAAGCTGTACACATATTATTATAAACTACTGAAAACAGTGTCTTGTGCATATCTGAATAAATCTTGAAGAGTGATTAACTGGGATTAGGAAAGATGTTATCCATAAATATAAATTTAGTAGTGTTGAGTTTAAAAGTTATAATTATTTGTTAGTTTGCCCAAGAATACTGGTATAATGTTGACATGGATATAAACATTATAAATTACATAAATTATATACTACTGATATAAATTATAAACTACTGAAAACAGTGTCTTGTGCATATCTGAATAAATCTTGAAGATTGATTAACTGTGATTAGCAAAGATGTTATCCATAAATATAAATTTAGTAGTGCTGAGTTTAAAAGTTATGATTATTTGTTAGTTTGCTCAAGAATACTGGTATAATGTTGACATGGATATAAATTAACTATAGATAATTATGTGATAGATCAAAATTTAAAGTTTAGGTTTAAACTTAGTAGGTCTATAAATTGCTGGATACTTAGATTACAAATTAATAAAATATTTACTTGCAATACTGGCAATATCTGTATGTGATACTACATGGCTTGGTTCTTTAAATGAATTTTAGTGATGAAACAAGAAAAGAATGGATGTCAAATACAAATTTGATTAGGAAAAACAGTACACCTGCAAACTCAAGAGTAAAGGTTTCTATAAACAAATAGCTGCTAAGACCCTAGTTTAAAAAGCCATCAAATCTTACAGAATTTTCATTGCACTGAGAAGGGCAACTGGTTGAATTGTAGATCTGTTCAATGTTTATGCATTCACCATTGAGGCATACCTAGAAGTGAGGTAAGCAACACAAAACAGAAGGAATTATAATTCATGAGACATTGTGATCTTATATAATTACACATAAAATTATACATTCCATTTTATATGATTTAGAGGGGCCCAGAATATAGCTCAGTAGCATAATAGCACTTACCTGGAAATGCAAGGTCCTGAGTTCGATTCCCAGTACCAGAAAAAAAATATATAACATTTTATATGATTCAATTATAATTTGTATAATTTTTGTCTATTGCAAAATTCTATGTATACAACCTGTAGATGTGGAAATTTATACACGATTGATGGATTTATGTGCGAGCATTAACACATGCAAACCATTAATTATTAAAAACGTTTGTGTCTTCATTTTTTGAATGTTAATCTGCCAAAAATTCTTCAGTCATAATAATTTATTCTCTGTCTACTAAGCTTCTTTTGATTTAATATAAAGACCTAGACTTCTAAAAGCGTAATTGTTGGCTAAGAGTTTTGCTAACATCAATTAATCTTCTTACTTAAACTAGATACTTTAGAGATTTGTAACGATGCTTTTAGTCATCATTCAACATATTTTAGCACTTTTCTAATAAATATATTAGCAATAAATACGTAGTATTTTCTCATCGTTTGTAGACCTCTCTTTAATATCCTATCTCCTTATTTAACTTCCTAAGGCCATTTCTCAACTGACTGGAATAGTTTTTCAGGCTTTTTTTTTTTGCAGAAAATAATTGCAGATTTTACTTCCTTAGTCATGAGACATGAACATTCTACTGCTTTCCCGTCTCAATAAAAATTGAGCTGTGTTTATGATTTTTGCATTCCAAGTTTTGCCCAAAGCTCTGTTCATATTACACCATTATCTTTTGGCATTTCTTGTTAGAGAGAAACATGATAGTATCTTGGGATAATTTTTTCCTGTAGGCAAATAATGATCTGCTCTCTTTTGGCTTGCAAATGTGTTTTTCATTCTTGACCTTAAGAACATGAAGGGACTGCTGCTGTTTTCTGAGTGAATGTTTTCTGTCACTAACTAACCTTTTTTATTTTATATATTTATTTCAGATCAGGAACTTAAAAATCATTTCTTTAATTATACTTCAGTGCTATTCTATTTTCTTTATCATTTGTATTAAATCTGTATTAGATTTCTTTGATTTTTCCCAATTTGTATGTATTTTTCTACTCCTTTTATTTTTCTGGTTTAAGAAGCTCAAATTTGAACTTACTGATTTTTTTTTGGTAACATCTATTCCCTGGTTCATGCCAAAATTACATATTATCTGGCAGCTATGATAGTTTGTACCTTGCAAGACTAAGACAATGCTCCTTGCTCTTACATTATACCAATTTTAATGTTTACTGTCCTTTAAAATCTTATCCAAAGTATACATTTAACTTCATTTTGATAAAGTAGGAACTCTCTGAACACCATATTGTACAAAGGGAAAAGGGAAAAGGGAAAAGGAAAGAATAAAAGGAAAGGAAATTCTTTGTACAAAAGGAAAAAGGAAAGAATAAAATTATGAGTATACATGGCATACCATCATTTCCCACTGGGTTTTTCTAAATTATGTAGTGATTGAAGTTAAATACTGTGACATGATTTTTAATGCATATAAGATAACTATTTTCTAAGTTTGGAAGGTAAAAGAACTTAAAGGAAAGGAAGCTTATTGCCCTTTATTTGAAATGGAAACGAGAGGAGGTAAAGGCTACAGACTGTACACCTCCAACCATGTGGCCTTATGGAACACATCACTGGGTTCCAGGAGTTATGGAGAGGAAGGTATGAACAGGCAGAACATAGGGGACACGTAGGACAGGAGAAGTATTATATGACACTAAAATAGTACATGTCATTATAAATTTGTTGAAATCCATAGGATGTACAGCATTTCTATTTTCACTGAGTAAATCCTAGTGAAAAACTGTGGATTCTGGGTAATAATGATGTGTAAATGAGGATTCTTCATGAAATGTGCTACTCTGCTAGAGGATGTCCTGTAATGGAGATGGGGAGCTGTGCTTGCAAAGGGGATCTGGGAAATCTCTGTACCTTCTATTTAATTCTGGCATTCACCGAAGGCTTCTCTTCAAATAAAATCTATTAAAATTCAACATTTTCAAATAATTGTCCTCTTGTACATTTGTTTCACATGGGATTTCATCTGGGTTTTCTCTGGCTTCCCTCTTTTATTCACACTTTTAAATTCCCTGTGTCTCTGGCTGTTTGTTTTCTTTGTCTGTTCTTCCTGGACAGATTTTCTAGGCATATAATGGAGCCCTGGATCTGAGTGCTGCAAAATTCATGGAAATCTCCCTTCAAGGGTTTTAAGATCAACTTAGACCGATGATGAGAAATGTCTTGTTCTAACTTTGCTCCTTTTTGTATCTTTAATAAAGAGATAACTGCAAAGACAGATTGGCAATAGTTCTTCTGTGCCAAAGAAAGGGCTAACTTCTTCCCTCAAATTTCTTCTCTCCTCTTCCTTTTCCTCTTCCGCTTCTCCTTATTCCTTTTCCTTCCTCTTTCCCTTCTCCTTCCACTTCCTCTCCTTCTCCTTCTCCTCCTTATTCTCCATTCTTCTTCTTTCCTTTCTCTTTCTTCTTTGCTTTGCATTTTATTTCATGCTGCTATAGTATAAGGAAAAGGGAACCGTGGAACACTATAGTGTGCTTTCCCTATCTTTCTGTGCCAAATTAAAATTTATCCAGAAATAAGAAAATACTTAGAGAACAAAAGTGTCTTGTGCATTTTAAGTTCACTATGTTTGAGATTACATTTCATTCAAAAGTTACAGGAACATTCCTTGATTAATGTCATTGTGAAAATCCCCATTGGCTTTGCATGGATTCCTGCTGTAGGAGTCAGCTGAACAGCCAGTAGGAGTGGGGCTGGTGTGTCTTCTCTCATGGAGGATAAGCTTCTATGTTTGTGGTGTTAGGGGCATGATGTATTTATGTGTGGAGCACATTCTGTAACAACTGCGTCCTAACAGTCCCTTTCTTCATTTCCCACTCATCCTAAGGAAGGGAATGCCATGCTTTCTTTGAGGCCTCAGGCTGGTTTTCCAGATATGAAATAAATAAATAACTGTTGGTCATTGTCTTCAGCCTGATGCTGCACACACCCTATCTTGTTGAATGTCCTTAAACAGTTCTACTTTGTATTTGTCATCATTTTGATAACCATCTGAGTCCCTTTAGTGAGAAACTCTGCCATTAAAATATATGGACTTGAAATGGAAGTTATCATTAAGTTCTAATTTTCTTTTATATTTTGAGTTTTTGCTTTAGAATTTATTTCCCTTTCACATTTTACCAACGCCATCCTGACACTTGTGGGTGGTGGTACAGAGTAGGAGGGTAAACATACCACAGAGAAAACATTCAATTTCAAATAGCTGAGTTTCTGGAGTACAGGAGTATATGCTTTCCATATAGTCTCGTTGAGCTTGCTATTGGTCATATTACATCTTCTAACATTTTCATCTTGGTCCAATAAACTTTTCCAATAGGATTCCCTTTTATTTGTTCAACTTCATTATTTGCCATTCCAACCAAAGTTCACACCATTACTAATTTCTCAGCTCTTTGAATATGTCATGCATGTTGTACCTTTACATATCTTTATAGGTATTTCTTTCTGAAAAGACTTTTGTGCATTCCCATGTTTTCTGTGAAATTATTCACAGTAACCAAAATATGGAATCAACCTAAGTATCCATCAGCAGATGGATGGATGAAGAAAATATGCTACATATAAACAATGACTATCAGAGAGAATACAATTCTGCCATTTGTGCCTACAAGAATGAACTTGAGAGAAACTAAATATATGAGTGGATTGTGTTAAGGTACAGAGAGATAATTTCTGCATTACACTTGTTCTCATTCCTATGAAAGCTAAGATAGCTGTTCTCATAGAACTGCGAAGTAGAATCATGATTGCCAGAGGTTAGGGCGGGTGGAGAAAGAAGAGGATAGGAGAAGTTGTTAAACAGATACACATCTGTGGTTAAATAGGTGGAGTAAATTCTAGTGTTCTATAATACAATAGGATGACTATCATTAACCATAATTTATATTTCTAACTAGAGAAGAAGGTTTTGAATCTTCCCAATGCAAGGAAATTATAAATATATGAGCTGATGAACACACTAGCTAGTCAGATTCACTCAGCACACAGTGTATACTTGTCAAAAAGTACAATGCTGTACACCATAACGGTGTACAATTAGCAAGTATCAATTAAAATTAAATTTTAAAAGCTTAGAAAAAATAAGTCTTTCCCTTTTTCTTTATGTTAAAAGTGTCATTCCTCAGGTCAGAGCTGAAAGGTAAGATGTCACCCATGTTCCATGCATGAGCATGTAGCCACTGCTGACTTTGGATTCCAGATTCACATCAATCTGGAATCTAGGAAAGTGCTTTGGCTGAACTGTGATAATCTGTTTAGTCTAATATATGAAATTTTCAAGTACACTCACCTTTAAATCATCTGTAGCTAGCATAGTTTCTGACAGTTTAACACTTGGCCAATAAATATGGTTGAATAAATAAACTAAATGAGGAACATATACCAATTTTACAGTCACATTAATTAGGAAAATACCATTAGAAGCCTACTATAAGATGCTAATTAAGCATATTTATAACAATTACATATCATTTTATATGACTAAATTAATCAAAAGGAGTATCACAGTGTTATTTCTACTGTTTTTCAAAAATAAAAAATGTAGTAGCCAATTTTTTCGCTGATTTGCCATATGTAAGTATCTCTGGAGCCAATTATAAGATCCAGTACTCTTTTTTTTTTTTATTTTTTTTATTTTTGGTTTTTCTCCGGTACCGGGAACCGAACTCACGATCTTGTGCTTGCCAGGCAGGCACTTTGCCGCTGAGCTAAATCCCCAGACCCAAGATCCAGTACTCTTTTTGAGCAGCTGAACCAAGAAGTTTTAATAAAACAAAAGGTTTCCATCTTACCATCTTCTCTCCACATTTTATTCTAGAATCAACCAGACCAATATCTTTAGAATTGTGATGTAAAAAGATGGTTTTGCATTTGATGGTGACATTCTGCTTTGGTTCCGTAAGAAGAAAGGTCTTGACTTCCCCGAGGAGGGATGAGTGGTGTCCTCCAGTGCAGTAAATCTTCCCACACTTGATGTCTCTGAAGGGGAGGGAGAGCATGCCCAGATTAGGGACTAGAACTCCATCTTCAGAGACGAGGCCTGCTGTCAAGAAGCCAGGGCACGTTTTTCTAGACTCAAGTTTGTCAATAGAAAACTCAGTCTTGACCATGAGTAAGCAAAGCATTAGATGATTAAAGTCATGGCCTGTGGAACTCAGTAGAGGAGATAAAATGCACAAGATAATCGCTTTTAAATTTCTCTGTGATTCTCTCAAATCTGTATTAGTTCAAGCTTACAGAAGACTATTTCTTACTAGTAACTTGAATTAACATGACTTTCATAAACATGCTGAAATTCCCCTCTTACCCTTCCTTCTGTAGAGCTTAGCAGTTGATTTTGAGAACAAAGCTGCAAGTCAGCTGTCACATTAACCCTCATTTTCCAGATCAGGCAGCAGCTAAGAATAAGCGTAGTGTGATGGCTCTCCATTTCCAGCTAGCTTACGGAGGAGCACACCTGACCTTGACCGCAAGTTTTTGTTCTACTCCTGCTCACTTAGCCAAAGTTAACAGTTGTTAGAACAAGAGCCTTTCTTAGTTTTCAAAACACTACTATAGAGCACTTACTTCTCCTCACAGGCAATGAATATGTTTTCCTTGTTTCTGCAGTAACCAAATTTATTTCCTTTTTTATTCATCGTGTAGCAGATATCAGGACTCTCTTTTGCTTCTGAAATGCACAATGATATGAAAAAAATAGAAGACCTAGTGAACACAGGGAAATTGGGAATCTTAAAATGCCTTATTTCCTCATGCAATTGACCTTAGCATCATCCCGTATCATGTAGTGTGAAGTAGAATAGAATAAATAATTTAAAAGCTATCCCATTGAGCCAGGAGAGTATTTTAAGTAGGAATGGAGCTATAGGACAGTAACATATGTGCTTTAGTTAACATACTTAGACAATCAATTAATATTGGAGGAAAGATCAACTGATAGAAGTAATATTCAAAGAAATATTGAGTAATACTTTAGAAAAATGTCAAAAATTGTATCACTGCCAATCTTGTCCCAGTGTCTTCTGTGATAATTACAGACAAGTAGAGGCTATTGTCTTTATAAATTATTCATTGTGACAATCTCTCACCATCATCAAACAATCCAGTGCACTGATCCTGCCGTGTGGGACATTGCCCCATGAAGCAGTAGCCTTCTCCATTGTTGCAAGGAAAACCATTGACTTGGAACCTATCCTTAGGACACTCCGAGGAGTGGCCGGTACAAACTTCAGGAAAGTCACACTCATCGTTTCCGGGTCTGCATATGGACCCTGCTTTTTTTATCTGTTGAAGAGAAACAGAGATGGAATTTTTGTAACTCTTAGATAGGTAAGGTCTAGTAAATAGGTGAAAAGCTGGTCATGTAGTCTATCTAAAAAAAAGACTCTAGGGGCACATCACAACTTCTTTCTCCATTCCACTGAGAGTTACTGTCATTTGCAAATGCTTTGGCTTTTATGTGAGCTTAAGGATGACAAGTTCAAGATTTGGAACTTTGAACTTTGTTATTGAGGAAGTTTTAGATAGAAGTGTAATGGGTATGAAATGGTACAATGTATAAACATTCTCATTTATGTTATATTTTCTTAATTCCTTACTCCAGTATAGCCCTGCTCTGCTTGCACACAAAAGGAAACTCCTACCTATAATAAGGAATCTCCATCCCCAAGAAATCAGTACCTCCATATAAACTGGAAAAATACCCTGGCTTGTATTGCTGGAGGCAATTGCATGGAGATTTCTCTTGTTCTGCTACTCAATACACATTTATTGGTACTGGTTTTGGAGAGATTTGAAGATGAAAAAGACATGTTTCTTCTCTTGGTGAACTCCACAGTCCAATAGGGTGAATGAAGTGTCAATAAATCCTTGGACAGGGCCATCTAGTCTCCTCTAGGACTATTTCTCCATCTTACCAGCCACGATTACTTTCAAATCCCAGTATAACCCTTTTCTCCTTTTAGCTCATGTTGTTGGGATATCAATTTCACTCCCAGTTGATGTAATATAGGTTGGTAAGAATTTACAGAAGGCCAAGAATAGTGCTGGCTGTGTGACGTCTCTCCTAAAACACCGAAAATGTTTACTGGCTTCTCCATTCCCTGGGTCAAATCATCAACCTGTGCTCAGAAGTCTGAATATATTTGAATAGGTATTGCCAAGAATTTATGGTGGAGGATTTTCCATGGCCAGACAGCTCCTTGGACTTGAGTGACTTAAGCTGAAAACAGAGAAACTATTGCCTGTCCAAGAGTCTCACCTGACAAAATTCACAGCACTCTCCTTGTGCACAAGTAAATCCTGGCTTCAGCATACACATGTGTGCATCACAGCAAGGGTTAGTACACTCCTGACAATAATAAAAAATTAAATATCAGAAAAATGATTTGTGGTTTAGCTTTTGTTTAAATGGAAATAGATGGGGCTGGGAATATAGCTCAGCAGCACATCTGCCTGGCAAGTGAGAAGTCCTGAGTTCAATTCCTGGTACAAAAAACAATGGAAGTTCAACAAATCAACTCTTTAGTCTTTCAGAGGTAAAGGCTGCTGCATGATCCCATGTAATGTGTGGATAAAGATTACAGTTTGGCGCTAGTGTTTGGGACTCCTGCTGCATGTCCTTCCCTCCTGGCTCTTCGGGACTCCGGAGTTTATGAGTGCTCATGGGCAGGAATAGAGTCCTACGTCTACAACCTTCTGCTCCTCTCCTTACTCCCATTCCCTGGAGGTTCCTATTGCTTCCTTATGCTAAAGTTTGATGAGAAACAGTACAGTTTTTAAAGATCTGAATTTGACTTTTGTTCATGATGTCAAGCAGATCAGGCTGATCTTTCTGCTAAAAAATACACCTTCATATAATAACAACAAGAAGGGCTCTTAAACCCTCTCTACTTGACTAAAATTAAAATTCCACTGGAAATTGTTTCTGATCAGGTAAGGTACTTCCTGTGTTGGAATGAAGCTGTAGAACCATTCCAAAGAAGACACGTGGGCAAGAGAATCAGTTTCCAAAAGGAACAACCCCTTTACAGTTAACCTAAGGCATATGGAAAATGAGTTCTTATACCTCTGGACAGATCATTGACCCCACTCTGATTGTGAAGTCTCAGGAGAGCTGTTTTATCAGGCTGTTTTTGAAATAAGCATAGGTACTAAAAATGTAGTTCTCAGAGAAGAAGTGGCATTAACAGAACTTTGCAGCTTGGTAGCAATAAAAATTCTGAACCCTACTGGACCAGAGTCCATATCCTTAACAACTATCCCAGGGATTTGTATGCACTTTATAATTCGCATAGTAAGTTGTGTAGGACACATATTTATTTGATGAGCTCCTGAAAGAAATAGTTCTATGTTGGGAAAGAGCAGATTAAGAATCACTTCAAAATTTATCTCAAAAGCTTTGTTTCTAAATGTTCCAAAGACAAAGTTTGTAATAGATATGTGAAATTTTTGAGAATTTCTGCTCTATTAGGAAAGGGTTTTCTAATAATGAGAACTGTCCAGCTGTAGCCTCCTGCAGTCATGAGTAAAACTCAGCTGATTCACTATAAGGGATTTTGTAAGATGGCTACATGCTACTGCGCATGAGTATTCATGCATACTGACACCTAAGGGCTCTTCTCACAAGATGAGTTAATTAATACATAAACAAAGTGAATGTGAAGCTGCTGATCTCTAGCAAGATCATTATGCACAATTCATGATTTCTTAAAAAGCCTTGAAATGAAGTTGCCCCAACATCTTGTTTTTATAGTGAAAAAAGTCTTGTATTTTAGAAGCTTTGTAAGAGGAACATGATGGTTAATATGCTTAATGGCTAGATCCCTGCTTAGATTTCAACTGAGCATAAACTTTATAATTTAAACACAGCATCATTCTCAAATACCTGCACAGGGCCACAGTCACACTCTTCCCCTTCATCTACTTTCTTGTTCCCGCAAAATGGGAAATCACTGAGATTGTTAGGAAATGGAATGTTGAGCATGCAGGTTGGTTTATAATCCTTCAGGAACTGCTGGTACTGGCTGTGACTGCATTTACTGAATTTTATCGCAGGAATACTAGAGACGGGATGAGATAAAAATAAAGATTTATCACATCAATATATTGTGAAACAGCAGCTGTGAAAGTTGTATGAAAAATTTAGAAAGGACAAATGTAAATGTTAACTGTGGCAGCAGAGCGGGACCTGGGCTAACACAGCTAACACATGGTGTTTCCATGGAAATACTCTGGTGAAACATCCTCCAGGCATTCATTCCTGAAGCCCACATTTTGGACTGGTTGTCTGTACTTGCTGCTCCCATGTCTGCCTCCATGAGCCTGGTGTAACATAGTTTTAAATTTCTATACATCTATGTTCACCATCTCTGCAAGATTAAAAGCTTCTCAAGGCAGGGACTGTATCATGACCAAGTTTTTAAAAGAAGACCCAAATCAGGCATAGTGGCACAAGCATGTAATCTCAGCACTCTGATAGGCTGAAGCGGAAGGATCACAATTAGGAGCTCATCCTGGGCAACTTTTGAGACCCTGTCTCAGAAATAAAAAATGAAAAGTACTGGAGGTAGAGCTCAGTTCAAAGGCCTTGAATTCAATCCTCAGTACCATGAAACAAGCAAATAAAAAACCTACTAGTTAACATAGTACCTAGTACAGAGTGGTTATCTATTTATGTTTGCTGATAAGAACAGCTGCTACACTTGATCTTAGCAAAAAGAAATAAGCTATTTAATAATATCATAAACATGTTTAGGAATGCTCCCTTCTATCTTTCATTTGTCTCCCTTGACAGTCTTATTGACACTCTGGCTGAACATGAATCACTGTGGTCTGAACACAGATCACAGATTTAAGAATCTTGGTTACACTGCATGAGAAAGGGGGATTCTGTGAGTAAAACTAAGTATGTAGATAACTATATAAAATTAAATACCAGTTTCTGAGTTCCTAGTCTATGCCCTAGCCACTGTTTGTGTATTTTAAATCATTTATTTGATATTTGGAAGAGATTGCCATTAACAGACAATTCCTTAGTACACACAAAGCACTATGCACACCTACTGTGAAGAGATCCAGTGATGTTCAGGACAGGACTGACCACAAGAGATTCACAATGGAACAGGGGAATGCTGGCTGTGCATTCTTTCTGTGACTATTTATGGGGTACCTAACAGGTTCCTGAGAATTTCTAGACCATAGTAATGTAACAGTGACCAAAAAAAGACAAAACATAACGTCAAGGAGCTTATACGCTAGTGAAAGAGGAAGGCTAAGAGAAGCTTCTAACATTTTATATAGGCTATATTACATGGTGAAAAGTACAAAGGAGAAAAGAAAAAATAAATAAGTATGGGGTAGAAAAAATGTGACGATATGTGTGTGTGATGAAATAGGATTGAAAAGATTGGATCAGGTGGCTAGGGAGATCTTTGCTGAGAATGATATTTAGGTAAAGATGTAAAGGAGGAAATTATAGTAAAGCTGGAAAACCAAGACACGTAGAATCCATTTCTCCCATACATGTCTTCCTTGAGAGTGGTGCTTGATCACAGTGTGCTTTCATAATGTGTGTCCATGGAGTTTTAGAACTTCTCTACATGAATTACTACAGAGGGGCATGTTAGTGACAAGGTAATAAGATTTAGGCCCCCAAAAGTTCATTTCTTATTCTATCTGATTTTGTAGTAGAGCTTCCAGGAATTTACACTTAATATCAATACATTCCTAAAAGAATGCTCCAAAACATTTCATAGGGTATATTACCAAGATATTCAAATGTACTCCCTGCATTATCTGAGCCTCACCTTCCAGCGCCGTCCATAACGCACTTTCCCAAAGGACAAGTGCACGGGAACTCATCATGCTGCATCCCGAGGTTATGTCCCAACTGATGTGCCATTCTGTTCGCAATTATATTTATGTCAGGTAGAAGATCCTGACGCAAAAGAAACGTCCATTAGAAAATTTTCAGGGAAAGTGCACTGTAGTCCATACACAGCACTGTGAGTATTGGCTGAAAGACCCAGTCTGTAACTTCTACTTAACTCGGGGATTTAATTACTTTCCCCTCTGTACCTCAGCTCTTTCACTTTGTAATGTAATTGGGAAAATGACTTTTTAAGTGTCTGCAGCTCTAAAGCTTTGAAGTGTGAGTGTGTGTGTGTGTGTGTGTGTGTGTGTGTGTGACAGTATTATTCAGTGTTGGCTTTACATAGACTCACAACAATAAGAGCTAAAAACTACTAATGCTGCTATGGTCTGAATGTATGCAATCTTCCAAAATGCATCTGTCAAAGCCCTCACCCCAAGGAATGGTGGTGATAAAGTCATGGGTGCAAAATCTTCATGAATGGGATTTCTGCCCTTCTGAAAAAGGTATCCCAGATACCTCCTCCCCTTCTGTCTGTCTTGTAATGACTCAGAAAAAAGGTGTGAACTTTGAGCCGGACAGTAGACCTTGACCCTGGATTTCTGTCTCCAGAATTGTGATAAGGAACTTTTTGTTTTTTATTAGCCATGCAGTTTGTGGTACAATATTTTATTTATTTTTTTTATAGTAGCCTGAATGGATGAAGACAAATATCCTACACCATATGATAAATGTTCATGCTGGTCTTCTCTATACTAGCAGTTCAAAGGGGACACAAAACTACGTGAATTCTCTTGCTTTCAACTTATAATGTCACGTTGAACAAATGCATATACTCTCGTGGAAGGAGTTTCTGTTATGAGGAAAATTAAAGGTCAGAGATATAATACCTGCGACAATGTGGTTTGTTGTCTTGGCTGATCGTTGTAATTCATGTTTTAATGCTTGTATTAATGAGGAAATATTTCCAAAGAGGGACAGGCTATCAGGTTTCTATAAAGCTAATGAAACATCTTTAATATGTCCATTTGATTCATATAAAGTTTAAAATGTTAAAAAATAAAAGTGAAATAAAGTGTTTCCTGGGCTTATTAAAATGTAATTGAAACACTCACAGCCTGTATCAGAGTAGATTGACTATATGATGTAAAAGTTATGTTACTGAAATATCAAGGCAAATCTATAGGTGTAAAAGAGCTGCATCAATATAATGTAAAAAAATAGTTCATGCAGTAATTTAATAAGTATCCATTTCTAAGTTTGAACTGCCACAGCAACAACTAAGCAAAGAAATAAAGGAGATAAATACACACCTTCAGATTTTCAACAGTCTCCGTAATAAGTTTACTTGATCAGCATTTATTAGAAACTTGAAACTTGGAAATGGATTGTGTTTTCTGAACATGAATTGCAATGCGGTTTTGATAGGATGTATTATGTGTTTTATGCATTTTCTTTTCAGCATGAGAACATTTATCCTCCCTTGCTAAATAAGTCATCACATTTTGTCCCTATGAATAATTACAGTTAGGAGGCAAATCAGCTTCACTAATCATGCATTAATCTGAGTATGTTGTTCATTTGAACTCTTCCCTACACTGGTTTACCTTTATTATTTGTCTATAGTTTTTTGTTAGACATTTCTTTTCTCATTTAATAATGGAAATGTAAGTTTTCGTAGTAAGTTAGCGGTTATATATGACAACAGGCATGTATGGTGTCTTTCAATGGGACTCAGAACATTAAAGAAATTCAAACATTTTGACTAAGTAATGTGATATAAATAGAACACGGCTCACCTTAATAACACTGGCAGAATAACTGGGCAGGCACATACCCGCTGGATAAGAAGCTCCTTGTGGTTGTGTGTAGAGCCACTTCCCACTATAGGCATGACACAAATATACTCCTCAATCTGAGTCAATAGTCTAACACAAAGATTCAGTGGCAGTAAACCACCACAGTACTTACGCCTAAGCTTGTGGAAGTGCCTTCTTATTTCTGCAATTCTGGAACTGAGGATGGATTAATTGATATTTAGCTCATTTTAAACCGACACTATAGTAGGGGTACTGAAAAAGTGAATTCAAGCTTAAGCTGAAATTGTAAAACAAAGATAGATTTTGAAAAACAAAAAGTAAAACTGAGTGTCTGATTTTCCTTCAGTCTATCCTAAAGTTAATTCTAGAAAAAACCACTCAAATGACAAAAAGGTAAATTAACCGGTCAAATTTAAAAATGTTCAAGAGAACAAATATGAAATGATGTACTCAACACCATGATTAATTATATGTAGTTGATAAATCTTAAAAGTTAATCAACCATAGAAACTCAGAGAGGATTTGATAGCTATAATTAAATGTGTAAAAGTGCTGTCATATAAAAAAAGGACCATTCCTGGATCACCTAAAAAGACAAATGAAGATCTATATATTATAGGTATCCACAGTTGATTTGATTCACAAATAACTTCTATTGGACCACAGTAAAGAAAGCTTTCTTGGGCTGTAAGACAACATTTCAAGTGTATAGGATTCAAATGCAATTTGAATTTAAGAGAAATTTAAGGAAAATTAATAATTAAATAGAGTCATTAAAAAGAAAAGATTGAGAAATTTAATTTAAAAGAAAATAATGATTAAATAGACAGATCCAAACTTTTCCTCAGGAATCTAAAAGCTGTGGCAGGTTTAATTTATCAGATTAGTAGTCTTCTTTATTGTATAGTAAAGAAGATTGTTGTGGAGAGTGGTGACTGCCTGCATACACTTTAATGAGAGAAAATGTCCTGAGACTGAGATACTTCCTGGAAAACATGTTTTGATAGACTATTGGGGTTGCATGGCATGGGAATGTGAGAGAAGTTGGCACTGGGTAATAAGGAATGTATGTGGATTCTGAAACTACTTAACTTGCATAATTACATTTTCAACTCTGACCAGGATTGAGTATATGGCATTTTTCCTTTCTACTCTTATCCAGTTTTGGAAGGGAAGATTATTAAATAGTCCACTTGGAAATTCTCTGTACAACTAGAAATAACATTTTTCTTTGTGTCCTAACCCAAAGTTAAATGCCTTAAACTTGTTTTTGTTGTTCATTTGTTCTGTTATCTATTTTCACAACCTGCCTAAGGTGTGCAGGATAATAGCCACGTACCTCAGTAACAGAGCATGATCAAAATTCTTCCTTTTTTTAAGGACTGTCTCTTGCCAATTTGAAAAACGCAATAAGGTAGTCTCTATATTTGAAGCTTGTTCTATTTTGTCTCCATTTGTCCATATTTCAATGCCAACCAATGTCACATAAATATTCAAGGTGTTATAAATCTGTTCAAAGAAGAAATAATTTTCACAGACTCAAACTGCTGGATGGAACCTTAACCATTATTATATTCTTTTGTATTTCTAAAAAGAATAGTAATTTTAACATGTGACATATGGAAGCAAAGAGTGGGTGTTGTTTTACAAACACATGTCTTGCAATGGAATACAGGGTGTGTTGCACTTAATACTGTGTGTTTTTCCATGGTCAACAAAGAAATTAACCAAAAAGCTTATTTCTCCTTGAATTATCATAAGCCTTTCAAGCACTGATCTCAGAATTTCTATGGAAGGTTAGAAATGTGGTAGCAATATTTAAAAACTTGGCTTTGACATTTTTGTTCTTCGTGATTGATTTTTTATAACTTCCTTTTCTGTTTGAGAAACTGTACTGGAAATTACTCAATCCGTGGAGAAATGGTGGTAGCCTATAAATCTTTTCACCCCTTTTCCAAATTGCTTTAAACAGTCAGCTGATAGATACTTTTGTGCTAGGACAAGAGAAGACAAAGCTCAGCAGTGATCATGAATATTTTGAGACAAAGGAATATACATTATACCCATTTTATATTTTATAGTAGCTAGTTCAAAGTACCACTTGAGGGACAATGAATGACTAATTAATGAACACTGAATTAAGAACCGTATTGAAAAAGTCACTCCTGCAACATCACTAGAGAATAAAACTCCTTTTCAAGAAGTTTCTTAGAGATAGAATTCCTGTTATAACAATCTTCTGTAATTTTCTACTTAACCTGCAGAATGTGAATATACTGAATTTCATGTGTCTTTCCCATACCTCTAAAAGGTCACTTCACAACCACAAATGCTAGTTTCTTTTAAACTCTCATGCACGTTGACATTTAATGAAGCCATGACCTCCAAATGTACACTGGTGTCTGTGACTTCCATCCTTGTTTCTCTTGGCCTTGATTTTAGTGTTGGATAAAAATTATGTCAGGTCCTACAGAGCAAGAATTTTTTAACATGAACTTTGTCAAACTTCTCTACTCGTAGGTAGTTTTCACACTCATAAAATTGAATGCAAGTGACAGTGGAAATAATATTTGCCACCCTAGGATATACTCTGCTTTAGTGAAAAGATAGCCTCTGAAATAAAAGCCGTATTTAATCTTCTGAGTGTTTGAGTTGGTTTGATGTATTTATTTAGATGCTCACATAGAATTGATCTGCCGCACTTCATCACAGAGAAAGACTTTCGATTTCTGAGATAAAAGAAGACATAGTGAAATTAAAAGAGGTTCTAGTAAAATAACATGAATGCTGGCCTTGGAAGACCCTGTGAAGGACCAGTAAAGATGGTATGATGGGGGCGGGGCATGGTGGCGCACGCCTGTAATTCCTGCACTCAGGAGGCTGAGGCAGGAGGATCGTTGAGAGTTCGAGATCAGCCTAGGCTACGAAGTGTGCTCAAGGCCAGCCTGAACTGCATAGCGAGACCCTGTCTCAAAAAGACAAAAAATAAAATGATATGATGGGAAGGCTCAAGGGTTTTAAACCCATCTAATTTTCAATTCTTTGTGATATAGTGTACTACATGACTGCAATGTAGAACACAAATGATTATTCAAAGTTCTACAATAATTTTATACTTATGTTTACTTTGGAGATGGGAAACCTAGGAGAGAATTTGGGTCTTGAATTAGGGCCAGTGCCAGGGCTAATATAAATAGATGATCAGAAGACAATAAAAACTGGGTTAAGAGAGGTGACCATGAGATCCAAACATTTTACTTCACACCAATCCTATCTATTAGAAAAAAATCATAAGGAGGAGTTTCCAGTTCTAGACACAGATTTAAAGATTTGGGAAGGGTTCTGCTTCTGCATAGGAAGTACAGTCTTAGAAAACGATATTGCTTCTATCCTGACAGGAAGAAAAAGTCAGAGAACTTACAAAATCATAATTTTTCTTGAAACCATCAATGAGCAGATGTAGCATGGCTTACAAGTTAAGCTGGGATCTAAAGAAAGGTTTTTTTTTAAAGGCAAGATAGTACAGGACCTGTCCCCCATGGCAAGCAATGAGAAAAAAGAGGCTGAGCACTGTTGGACAAAGTAAGACGAATTCAGCAAATACTTTTCAGGAATTGCTAACAGTCCAGTAGGGGATAGAATGAGAATACAGAGCCCTGTCAGAGCCACAAATGTGCCTGTGCACAGATCTTTTTCCACTACCATTCTGTGGATACTGAACAGAATGAGGGAAGGCAGAGAAGGTGCCTAGAGATACTCTTCCACAGCAATAGGATCCTGATGGGTGGACACAGCTGCTCCTTTGCAAAAACTCATAAATCTACCAGACTCTTGCCCTCTAGGAGCAGAAGCTGTATGCTGCTGAGACTACGCTGTAAACATCGTTTTGATCCCTAGAACTCAAACGAAGGCCTATATGACTGATGAGAAGGAAAAGAAAATCCAGAAGGAGATGAAAGAGAGATAATAAGGTAGAGATGCACTTGAAAAACATGATAAATAATAGAAAATATTAAATCAGAGATCCAAGAAGCTCAGAGAATCTAAGTAATATGAGAACCAAGCACACACACTTTGATCAAGGTATGACAAAGGGATACAGAGAGTAACAAAAATACTTTCCAATGGTCAAATCTGAAAGAATTTGACTAACGAAATAGAGTAGCATTACATGGTAACTCAAAGTATTAAACAAATATCCACGACTCTATACCAATATAAATAAATAATTGAACAAATACATTAATGAGGGAAAATAAATAAATTTCCTGTGCAGAAGAATTCAAAGTAATACCTGTATAGGTATAGGTATAGGTATAGGTACAGCTACAGGTACAGGTAAAGGTGTAGGTATAGGTGTAGGTGTAGGTATAGGTATAGGTGCAGGTGCAGGTGCAGGTGCAGGTGCAGGTGTAGGTGTAGGTGTAGGTACAGGTATATACTCGACTTCAAAGAGAGAGCAAGACTCCTCACACTTGAAGGGTAAGTAATGCACAGTAACATTCTTCCAAAGAATAGAGAATGGTAAAGAGTGAAAAATGAGTAATTCTACCATGGGAACTCTGAAAAACATCACTTAAGCCAGGTGATCCAAATCAAGATCATTAGGGGCTGGGGATTTAGCTCACCGGCACAGCACCTGCCTGGCAAGTGTGAGGTTGTGAGTTCAATTTCCCGTACTGGAAAAAGAAAAACCTACTTCAAATCAAGATCGTTAGTGATAAATCTTACTGACCATGATGAAAGTGGACCATGACCCATATGGGTTTCCCCCAGAACATCATAATCTTCCAATTATAAGAAAATATCACAGAGATTCCAATATAAGGATATTCTATAAAATACCTGACAAGTACTCTTAAAAGCTCTCAATATTATTAAGTATAGAGAAAGCCTGAAAACCTATCACAGTCAAGAGGGGTCTGGGAGACATGGAGATTAAATGTATTGTGTTATACTGGGTGACATCCTGGGACAGAAAAAGAATGTTAGTTTAAAGTGAAGAAAATTTTAATTATTTAAATTTTGTTAATAATGTATTGGTAGGATTTTATCAATTGTTACAGTGATATCAAGTAAATCTGAGATAATAATAGGAGAAATGAAGCTTGAAATACATGGGAGCAATATGTTCTATCTTCACATTCTAGAAAAATATATAAAAATGCTTGAAACAGTAAAGATTTTAAATAATGTGTGAAACTATCATGAGAGGAGGCTTGGAGAGTTTAACGTGTGTTGTAAGGTACTTCTATCTGTGTATTGGTACAATGCTCCTTGGAGTTAGACTGTGTCTTATTAAATATAGATTGTAAATCTGTGGTTAAGTACAAAGTATTTTTGAAGACCCAATGGCATAGATAAAAACAGAATGATCAAAAACTACTCAGTTCAGTATGAGATAAGATTAATATTAACAAGGACAAAAATGGGGGAGGGGGACTTTGAGGAGGAGGGAGGGAGGTGAGAGGGAAGGGATTTAAAAGAATCAAGGTATATTATGCACATGTACCTGCTCCCCAAGATCACTGTAAGCAGCACCTACTGCAAACATGTACTAATAAAAAATATCCTACTCAAAAGCTGGCAGGACAGAGGATATAGGAAACAAAAAACATATCAATAATTATAGCAAATGTAAATTATGTAAGTAACCTATTAAAACACAGAAATCATCAGATTTTATGAAAGAAAAAATCTGCTGTCTATAAGAACGTGACTTTAAATATGTAGACAAAGATAAGTTAAAAGTAAAAATAGCAAAATATCTATCGTGCAAACACAAATCAAATGAAAGCTGAAGTGGCTCTATTAGTATCAAAGTAGACTTAGGTGCAATGAACATTTACAGCAGTCAGAGAGAGCACTGCATGATGACAAAAGAGTCAAATCAAAATGAAGACATGCAGAGCTAATGTGTCTGCATCTAATAGCAAAGCATCACAAACACAAAACAAAATCTGGCGACAGAGAGGAGAGAGACATAGTCACCATCACAGTTGGAATTAAATGTTTTTATATCAGTAATAAACAGTTACAAAATTAATAAAGACACAAAACATTAAGAAAATGCTATCAATTAACTTGACATAACTGACATTTTAGAAAATTCTGTAGAATAGAATTATAGACAATTCTATTCACTTATATCAGAATACTCTCATTTGTTTGTTTGTTTGTTTTATCAAGTACACATAAACCAGATTCTAAACCATAAAATAAACCTCAAACAATCAAAAGAGCTAAAATCAAACAGAATAAATTTTCTAATTTCTAATGGAATAAAAATTGGAATCTATAACAAAAATATATAAGAATCTCTAATTAAAAATTAAACAGCACCGTCTATAACTACTGAATTGAAGAGAAGGCCAGAAGGGACATTAGAAATATTTTTAACAGAGTGAAAAATTTAAAATAATATATATGAATATTTCTGGACAACAGCCAAAAAAGTATTCCTATTCCATATGACCCAGCATTAGATTTTTAGGTAAAATAAATGAAAATTTCTTTCTACATGTATGTCTGTATATAAATGTCTAAAGTAGTTATATTTAGAGTAGCAAAAACTACAAATAGATTAAATGTCCCTTAAGGGTTGGATGAACCACCTCTACCCTAGAGCAGACATTCTTTCTAGCATTTTCCTGTGGCACCTCTTTATCCTGGTAATAAATAAGGCAGGGGTGTATGTGACATCTTAGGAGTCAGCAAAGAAATATCTGTGCAATTCAAAACTTGCTTTACAAAATTACACCTCATTAAAATGTAAACACACTAATAATTTTAGGAGATTTTACTGAAATAGCTACTTTCATTTTTAAGCCAAATCATGGGCAATAAGTTACAGCTTGAAGGATTTTATACAAGGTCATAGACCACTGATTTAGAAAAGTGAGACGTAGCTTGAATGTGATTGGTTTTCAAATTCTTTGCACGTTGCTTCGTAAGTTTTGCAACTAAAGAACAATATTTGAAACTTATTTAAATAGTAAGTGGAATTTACTTGGACGATGAAAATGTCAGACCTGTGGTTTGATGCTGTGATTTTTCATCACAGTTTTGTTTATTAGTTTGTTTGACGAGGCTCTGGAGTTTGGGCCACCTCAGTATCAAGGGTACTTCAAAGTCCAGCAGAGAGTTAACATAAACATTTCTTTGCATTTATATTTTCAAGTCATTCAAATGATATCAATCCTTACCATGTTGATAAAATTGACCATTCCCCAAATTCTTCTCCTTAGCTTATAGTGAGGACTACTGTTTCTGCGGTACTGGAAATGAAAACATTACACCAAAATTCATTAATGATATAAACTGAGTAAAATGCTTCATCTCTTATGTGATATTACAAAGAAAAAAATGTATTGGAACAATGAAGAAAGAAGAAGGAACTGTCTAAGACCTGGATAATTTATGGAGGAGATTTTATTCTCGCTACTGGGGAACATGCCTCTTACACTGAGCAGCATCCTGGCCCTTAGACAGCATCTCACTAAGTTTCCCAGGCTGGCCTCGAACTTGTGATCCTCCTGCCCTCACTTCCTGAGTAGCTAGGATTACACACATATACCACCACACTCTGCTGAGATGAATTTTTTAATATTAAATAACTAGATACGGCAGTCTATGAAGACATATTTTAGCTCAGCACTACATTAGGGGTTTCCTTCCAAATTCAGTTGTCTTCTTTTACATTTCATTATACTTCATTGCTGTAGTAATTAAGCCAATTGATTGGTATTCTTTAGAGGTCATTGTTACCATGACACACCACCTATTAAAGATCTATGATAAACAAGATGTTGCAAAAAGACACACTTCACCTCTCTTCCTGAGTCTACAGTGTCACAAAGGATGGAACATACAAAAAAAAAACCTCCTTGGAGCCAGAGCTATGATACAGAGGGATAGAAAACTGCTTTCCCTGTTCTCCAGAGTAAAACTCAGAAGACAAAACTTTTTGCTCCATTCTGAATTTAGTTCTCTTCTTTCAACTTAATGCCCTTGTGGTACTATTAGGATCTTGCTAATAATTATCAACTAAATACACTTAATAACAAAACAATATGCTTTAAGGATATATACATATGGTCAAACTTCTATGATATGAATAAAAAATAAGCATGCTTTTCCTGAATCCTGTAGGAATCCTCTAGTTACTACTCTGTTGCTCCCCTATTACTTTACATATCAGTGTGATTCTGAATATGGTATTAGCATCTTTTCCATTTCCATCTCCCGTCCACTCATCATACCTGGATTTCAGTTACCACTGTTCTCTTAAAACCACTCTTGACAGTTCACAAATCCCCTCTTGAGTGCACGAATTACTTTTTGCTCACCTTTCTGGTTGTCTTGTCCACATTTAATACTGATCATTTTCTCTTTTAAGAAATTGCCTAACACTTGTGTTTCTCCAATCCCACACACTCCTAGTGATTTGTTATGGGGTCCTCTTCTCCCACCAGGAAAATATGTATCATACCCGGATTCCCGTTGAGTACTTGGTAGGGACTGTACAATGTACATTACAGGGAAAGATGTTAAACCTATCTCGGGGGTCATAGGAATAAGATAATTTCTCCACCAGTTATTTCCAACCAGAGGGACTGGGTAGGACAGAGTGCGAGCTTTGTACTCTTACTGTCAAACCTATAGTAAGTGATTGGTATTTGGGATGTACACATTTATGTTCTGCTTTCCCCTTTTATCTTGCTAGCTTTGGTAACATCCATATTTTAGAGATGGTTTCTTTCTTTCCACCCATGTGTTATTTCTGCCTAATAGTACCAAATTTTAGAATTATTTTTGTTACATTTTGAATGCATAGTCTACAAACTTACATCACCTCTTATTGGTTAAAAGTTGTGTTTTGTGTATAATTCACGTGTAGGTAAGCTTTTTATTTGTTCCAACTTAATTTGGTTGGATTTCCCCCCCATTGTCTTCATTATTCTGCAATTATTTCATATTGTTAGCTGGTTTATTTCTCATCCTTTTATTTCTGGAGTACTCTCAAGAATTATCACTGAAGGAGTACTTATCATCCAGTGACTCATACTCACTCTTTTATTCAGCATTTTTTTTTTTCCGCTACTGGGAATTGAACTTATGACCTTGCACTTGCCAGGCAAGCGCTGTGCCGCTGAGCTAAATCCCCAGCCCCTTTATTCACATTTAATGTCTCCTATTTTTTCTTTCATAGTTTCTAACTCTTCACTTCTCTGTGTTCCTTAGGTGTTAGATTTCCACCTATTCTATCCTCCAAGTCACTGACTCTCCCTTCTCATGTGTCTAACTTTGTATTCAATTTATTCGAGGATATATAGCTTCCTTTTGCAGATGTTAAAACAGTTTTTTTTTCAAGTATGCTTGTTATTTTTACAGTCTCCTCTCATTATCTTTTGGTGATTTCTATTTATTTTTATAACTTCAATAAATTTAAACCTATAGTTTCATTGAATAGAATAATTTTAAATATTGTTGGGTGCTTTACATCTCCTGGTAGGCTGTTTTCCCTTCTCATTACGTCGCTTTATCCTTTCTTGTGTGATTCACCTTACTTTGGGTTATTTTACTGTCTTTATGGGACATTTTTGATTTGGGCTCTCGTTTACCAGATCATTAAGCAGTTCTTATGTAGAATGCCTTGCTTGGCATGTCTGCACCTGAAAAAATATACACTGTCATGTTCCATATCAGTGCATGGCACAGGCATAGGTATACCTGACCCTTTCACTACCCATGCCTATATGCAGGTAGACAATCCCTTTATCTATTGCAGTTTCCATGGATTTTTATGGTTTCCTTTTCAGGGAGGATGCAGCACTTTACAGCTCTGGAAAACACAGAGGACTTATTTGCAAATGTCAGATTTTCACTCCATGCAATATTTAATTCCTCAAACCCCACACCTATATTTTATACATCACTGATCACCAAATTTTTGAATGTTACTTCCTGTTCTGAGAGACACTTTATTTTCAGTTTTAGCATTTGAAAATTTTCAGGTGTTTTGGAGGTCAACTCTAAACTGCTGACATGTTTTCCATTTCTTATACGTGGTTCAACATTTCCAAAGGTTTGTAATGGGGTGGACTGTTCTAGTTTGGGTTGGTCTGTTTCATTCTTCAAAGACCCAGTAGACTGTTATATTCATTTATTTGGGGAAGCTAAAAACACAAGTTTGAGCTTAGCAGGAAACTCTGATTAGGATACATTTTTGTCCAGTTTAGAATCACTAAAGTTTTATAAATATGAAAAAGAAACAAAATGTTCATCTGAAAACTTACCACATATTCATCAGCAACGATGAACAGTTCAATATACTTTTCCTTATGGTTTCCCTGGAAATTTATGGAAAATTTAATGAAGTATGTTCATATTTTTCACTTTAACATTTAAATTGGAAAAAATCTAACAATTTTGAGGTAAGAAATGCTAGTATTATTGAGATAAGAAGGTGAAGCAAATGTATATGCCTAACTAATTAGTCTACGAATCTGTATAAAAAAAACCATGGTATAAACATGTGGTCCTGCATATCATATATTAATAATCCTGAAGCAGCATTAAATTTTTGACTACACTTTCTTTTTTTGTGTGTGCACTTTGAGGTCAAATAAAAATTATCAGTAATAAGGAATCCAGTTTTAATATTTAGGATATTTTCTTCATTTGGAAAGTCAATGCTTTGTGACTGAGCTCAGGTGAAAAGAACCATCTATAGCTGAAAGTTAAAAATGAAATGATTGATAGTACAAACTATTCCTTCTATTTCTGCCTCCAAACCTCAAGGTATCAATTTAAAAATCAAATAAATATTGCTACTTATGTCATTTATTTTTAGAAAACAGAAATATCAGGATATTCTTTGAAGTTTTCAGCATTCAGTAAACATATGGGGAGGTACAAATATATTCCCTGAGGACAAATTAGGGAGATAATTCTCAATAATTGACACATTCTTTTGTCAACTAAGTAATTATTTATTTATTGAATTATTCAACTGGGAAACACTCGTTAGACATTTAGTATGTGTCAGAAACTATCTAGACTATGAACCTGCAAAGAAGATCTGCAAACACGTAGTTTACAAGCTACCACTGGGTGGAGATTTGAGGAAATAAGAGCTAGTTGTACAGAAAGGCATAATACATACAGGACTCTGAACAGCCATCCCACCAGAAATGGAACCTGCGGCTATCCTATCCTTAGTCATCTTTAACCACTAGAACAATTTGGCCCAATGAAAGGCTTCTAATCAACAACTCCCACAAAAATGCAGGGAAGATAAGAAAAGGTAATGTCTAGGACAGATTTCAGAACACTGCAAATTCCATCCTTTAAACACAGAAGGTCCTGATGCCACACATGAAGGTATGTTTACAGCTCCCATTTCTCACTCTGATGGAACGCACTTGGATTTACTCTGGTCAGTAAACACTTTCTACACAGGCATCAAACAAAAGTTTGAACGTAAAATTTCAAACAATTCAGCGTCAGATTCAGAGTAGCAGATACACTTCGCTAGCTGGACTGATCATCTCTTTTAAGATCATAAAGGACATGGGAGGTGTTTTACCTGCCTTAGAAATAGAGTACTCACTTTCTCTGTGTGGTTTTCCTTACATTTAGTGTCTTTTGGAACAGCTTTCATGGTTAAATTGAGCTCTGCACAAGAATAATTGACAACATACGGCACCCTTGGGTTATATTTGAACACCAAATGCTCTCCCTCCTCCGAGTATTTCACTGGTTCAATAAGATACCTTTGATCATTTACTCTGAAGAATCCCCTGTGGAAATCGGAACACAATGTATATTCAAGATACATAACTGTTTCAGTTTTTAAAACTTTACCCTTTCAAGACAGGGAACTACAAGGTCAAGACCACATAAGCTTGCAGTTGGGTGTTTTCAGTGACAAATGAGATGGTATGTGGTGTTTCATTGAATGAATAGCTTTTTCTAAGAGTCATTTTATGTAAATTTTTCAGAGGAATTCTGACAGTCCAGTTTCAGCTCTGAGTTGAAGTATAGTAGCAATCCCCACTTGTTTGTCTCAGGGCATTTGCAAAAACTTAATGAATTTATCATTAATGCGCTAGTTGTAAATATATAAAAGTACAAATAGTACTATGGGTAATTTTGTCATTAAAGGGATTCTCATTTCTGAAAATGGCACGAGCTTCTACTTCTTATAAGACAGAAGTTCCTTGTCTTACCATCTATCCTTGGACATGCTCCTACTTCGTCCTTGAATTCAAGATCTACAGAGAACTAATAACTGCATATATAACTTTTTGCTTTCTAAAGACCAAAAATGCAGGCTAATTTATAAAAAGCTAAATTATTAAAGCATTCTGGTGTAGTGGAAATTCACAGAACTGGCAGATCTTCTTCTTTCAAGAAGCCTAGATTTTGGGTTCAGTTCTATTACTAGATGATTGAATACTCAGGAGCAGGTCCCTGATTTTTAGTATCTCGATTTCTAACATTAGAGCACAGGTTAAATGATGTCCAGCAATCCTCCAGCTCTGTGATTCTTGATTATATACTGAAAAATGCATCTTGCCAAGGGCTGTGTATTAGGTATTTTTGTCGAACATAAGCATAAATCATGGGTTAGAGTTCATATCTACGGCTGAAAATACATAGTTGCCCTTTCTTTACTATTTCTTCTATTTACAGGCTGAGTAAAAGAAACAAATCAACTGAACGTATATCAAATCCATATCAAAATAAGCACACAAGGAGATACTCTGCTTACCTCAGACCATTACATGTGCTGATGCTAGCAGAAGAATCAAGTTCATGTATAATGGATCCTTGATAAAAACAGTGATCCTAAAATACCAGGAGAATCTCTTAATGTAAATATAAATATTTACGTTATGTAGATATTAATATCTGATTATTTTTGTTCAGAACATACCAGTATTTTATTCTGCCAAGTGATACACTTTTCCATGCATGCATTTATTGCCTTCTTTTTTTAATGTATATTTGAGCCTGATTTAGAGATCTTTCATCTTAATTATTGATTACTTTGTATAAAGCCATGTATGTATGGATCCTTTCCTTACAAACCTAAATCTGTTGGGTGCTGACACTAATGTCAGATATGTGACTCTTTTGCTTATAAATGTAATTTCTTTAATCCATCTCAAAATCTTTGCTAAACTAATTCTCTTACACTAATATTATAATTTCCCCAGTTGCCTATGAAATCAAGGCAAGTTCTAGATGATTCCTAAAATTAGGTATTCCTCTCTAGCCGGTACTCCTCAGCCAAGTTGGAATCCTTACTATTTCTACATGGTGTATTTGTTGTTTGTTTGTTTTGCTTTTTTCACTAATTCATGGGTTTTCTTTATCGAATATATCTGTATCTCTAATGGCCCATTTGCAAATATAGTTCATGTTTATTTAATGACTTCATTATGAACCATGTCAAACATAACTTAGAGGAGAATGTCAATGGCTTGCATCGTGCTCTGACAGACATGTTGGCAGATAATAAGCCAAAAGTGCCATTGTTTTTTAAAAATATGTGGAATCTGGGCAACTCTATGAGCAAAGGACCAGCTAGGAAAGAGCAGAGATAGAGCTATATCATGAAGTGCTTTAGAAGGACTAGCTACTAAGAAAGGGTGATCAAAGTGCAATTAAGCAAAGGTGATCTTCTTTATTTGAGCATTAGAAGTACATACTATTCTAATTAGATATTCGTTTAAACAGGAGAGCAGTAATTATAATACAAACAAAAAGCAGGTTTTTGTTATACTCTGAAAAAAATTATTCATTTTCCATTTGTTAAAGTTATTTTTCAAAGATGTGATGAATCACTTTCATAGCTTTAAGATTTTTTTCTCTTTAACTCAAAACTGTCCTATCACTTTTATTATTATTACCACTTATTCATTTATTTATTTTTATTTTAAATAGAAAAAGCAATAAAACAGAGTTTCAAACCAAGTTAGTAAGAGTTACAATAATTAATATATTGTATATTGCCTTCATAGTAGCTATTCAGAGTACAAGATATAGGCATGATATCTTGTCCAAACAATATTAGCACAAACTCTTCTTTTCAGTGAACTAAGAGAAAATAGCTGTATAACTATCTTAATTATCTTGTATATAAATATATTTTTCTTTTTCCCTTTCTTCCGGTCCCTTTTCCCCCTTCATAGATTGTCTTTTCTTTTTAGCAGTTTCTTCCCAATTTATAATATCTATTGTACATTTTGGATCTTCTTTACCCTTTCAGTTTCTCACACTAGTGAGACAATATGGTGTTCATACATATGAGTCTGATTTATTTCACTTATGAGTATGACCCCGAGTTGTATCCATTTACTGATGAAAGTGTCCAGTTTATCTTTCTTTATGGGTGAGCAGTATTCCATTATAAAAAAAGAAAAATCACATGCAAGAGTAACCCTGTTCTTGGTTAAAAGGTTGCAGAGGCTATCTTCTGGAAAGGGGAATGAGGAGTAAAACAGAATCTGTATCCATTATAATAATGTTAGTGATAAGTACAAAAGCTTGTTTGGAAAATGAAGAAGAATCCTTAATATTGATGGATCAGAAGAACTGGGCAAGGGATTGAAAATTCATACATGAATCAATTGGATGGAGATTTCAATTTGGTTTCCTATGTTTAGATTTTTATCTCTAAACTTTATAAACCCAGGAAGGTGCCTTATATGCAATTCACTGGAGTTCTGTTTTGGTCTTCTTCTGTTTAACACTATGGAGTCTAACAGGAATCAGCATAGTAAAAGAAAATACACTGCAGTCCTCAGTTTGTTGTGATCCCTTCCTTTAATATTGAAAGGATCATATTTTCTACACCAGCAACATTCATTAAGAGTAAGCAATTCAAAACTCACTTGTGATATAGCACTTTCTGGAGAAATTTAGAAAGCTAGAATTGAAATTCAAAGTCACATCAGGAAATGATAATTTCAAAGAAACAGTACAGGAAGGTTCTATAATATACCGTTATCTGAGGATGCCTGGTGAGTATTTCTCCTTGTAAGGTGTAGAACGTTTCACTGTAATTTGAGCCAAGGAATTCTCTGAAAAAGAAGGCAGAGAAGAGGTGACATTTACTCATGCTACAAATCTAACAGAGAAAACCAAGCATGTAGTAGAAAGACCTCTACACTGCCTTCAAATCTCAGCAAGGTATCTCCTGCTAAAACTAGAAAATATTTTTAATTTAAAAAAAATTTTATTGGTACCTGTTTGCAGTTGTCTTGGTTAATTTTCTCTCACTGCTGAGACAAAATACCTGATGCCAAGAATTAAGGAAGGAAAGGTTTATTTAGGTTACAGTTTGTGGAGGTTTCAGTCCATACTTGGCTGGCTCCAAGGCAGAGTGGCCCATGGCAGAAGGCAACAGTTCATGGCGGTGGGAAAACAGCAAAAGCAACAACAGCAAAAAGGGAGAAGCAACCGGAAGCAGCCTAGTTCCCTCCCTTACACTGTATGCAAACTATCCACCCCAGGGCGGGTGGGTGTAGCACTCACACCTATAATCCCAGCATTGGACTATGGATCAATCAAAAACTCTAGAAGCCCACCCCATGACTGCATGAGGCTTTGGGGGGACACCCAGACACAAACCATGACAACAGTACATAATAATTACATTTAATGTGGGTAGTTTGTACATGTACATGAGACATTTTAATTCTATTTTTGTCCCTTTTCCCCTCCTCTTCTTCCCTGCTCCCACCAACTGTTCTTCCCCTCCCCATTTGCAAAAATTCTATTTCCATTTTTTAATCAAAACTTTAAAAAGAAATTCTTTCCCTTTCTTTTCTCTCCCCTCCCTCCATCTCTAACTTTAATGATATTATAAAGATGATAGAAAAACCAGAAAAAGATTGTGGCAATTTTACCAAAATGGCATTTTATAAACAACTCAGAGTCAATATTAAAACCTGAGAGCTAAAATTAATGCAAAAACATGTGATATACATGAAACGTATGTAATCTTAATATATAGTAATCAAATAGCTACACATTTGGATAAAAAGCAACATGTATTCATTATAAGAAATTTAGAAAACATACAAAAGTATAGAAGAAATTACCCTAAATTCCACCATTGCCATATATCTATTACTGCTAATATTTGCATTTAATTCTTTGTATTCTTTTCTTTGCATACATAAAGGGGTGAGGTTCTGAATAACCAATAGATATATCCTGCTTCTGCTCAGCCCTTTCCATCAGATTAAAAGCACCTACTATTGTACATACAAATTCAGATATTTGCCACAGCTGAATTGAAGAACAAGAAATAAAGTCATTGGCTTTCATTTTACTCTGAAAATTAGGATTTTGAAACTGAAGACAGAAACATTAGTCTTGAAAGCTAAGGCTTTTGGAATAAAAGAGCTGAGCTTTAAAAGTTTCCAGCATTTAACAATGATGACTTCAAGACCATCTTCTATAAATAAATAATCTGTAAAAGTAAAAGAGAAGTCAAGCGAGCCATCGTGAGGACTGACTTTCTCTGTGACAAGGGAGTCATTTCCCCTCAGACTGTCAGCTTCCTGCTCAATGCCAGACTGGTAGTGTATTGCAGGAAACTTAGTGGACTGTTTTTATTCATGCTGTCATTTCTTGGATATCAAAATCTGTAGCTGGTCTACCTCTTCTCTCCATCTTTCAGCTTTACATTTATTTTATAATGTCCAAAGGTTTTAGTTGTATTTAGCGCAGGGAGTAGGGAAAAGTAGAACAGATTCCATTTCTCTGGAGGTAGAAGTACTAAAATTTCATTTTTTCAAAAATAGATCACAATATGTAAATTTTAAGAAATTGTATACAATATTATACCAGCTGGAATTCTACCCTGTAATATTACTATATTCAATACCAACATGTTGGGCCAGTAGACAGTCACAACTTATGCTTACTTTTACTCTAGATCTCAAAATATATGAATAGTACATAACCACAATGCCTCCATAAGTTTTACGCCATTGGTAAGATCTGCTCAGCCAGTGGACTGACCAAGATGGCAATCAGACACATGTGTCCCACCAGTTAAACATTTTTGAAGTATTGGAGTATGTAATACATCATGAAAAATGCTTATAGAGTCATCATAGATTTTTAAAAAATAAAAATCATGGGAATTGTGTGAAATTAAAAGAATTGTTTTAGTTATATAAGTGGCTTAAGTTCAAGTCTTACAGTGTGATGACTCTAGCTAATAACAATGTATTGTTTACTAGAAGGTTTCTAACAAAGTAGATTTTAGGTGTGCTGTCTACAAAAGAATGATACATCCATGGGACAATAAATCTGGAGTTTGCCATCCCATAATCTGTACATATTTCAAACCATCATGTGCATTTTTGGTCAATTAAAAATAAAATAAATGAACACACATATACATAAATTGCAGTTTGACTACAGTGTTCCTCATTTAAGAGTGATGTGGCATAGTAGTGACTGCTTAAATAGTGTTAGGATAAGTGCGCTAATGAGTTTTTCAATAAATTCTGAGAAAATGATTATTAAAATCCACAGAGTTCAAAATTCCTTACAGCAAAGAAACAAGGTATTTCAGAGTCTTTAAATTTGTCTATATTTCTCTCACCCCTGACAATAATTCTTTGCTTGACCAAACTTTAATCAGGCATCTAACTTTCTTCTAGGCCCTTCTGAGTACTTGTAAAGTCCGTTTTAGCAAAAGAATCACACTAAGTCAGTTTAGCTGGAGCTGTCCATCCCTGGTATATGATCAAGTTTCTCATTCACCTTCATCTCTCTGGTGCTGACAAATCAACCTGGTCTTAGCAAGAAGTTGGTTTTTAGCTACACTCCACCCAACTGCTGTTTCCTCTCAGAAATTTCTGTCCACTAACCCCACCTGGGTCCTGGGCTGTCAGTTTCCACTCCCTCATGCAATATCCAATTTCTACTCCTCGGTAACAGACCTTATCACGTACAGTAGTCCCTGAACCTAATGACAATCCTCAAAAAAGTCTGACTGGCCAGGCATTAAGAAACATCATTAAATAATTGTTCCACAAGATCCCTCTGGACACCCCTGACCCTATTTCAGTATGACAAATTTCTAGAAATATTTTAAAGGCCTGCTCAAACAAACTTCTACATTCTGTGAGGAAGATTTTGACCCTCTGTTCACTATGTGTGTTTTACAACCCCGAAATTCTCTCTTCTGATGTCCAGCCAGTTGATAAAGTGGAAAAATAAATAAAAACCTCAAATATTCCAAAGATCTAAAAGAAGTCAGTAAAAAAAGAATAGAGACATAAATAAAAGGAGAAAAACAGAATTGAAATATCCAGCCTAGCCATATCAATCATAATGTTAAGCATCTCAATTAAAAAATCCAAAATTATCAGGATTTATTAAAAATCAAGACCCAACTAAATGCCATCTTATAAGAGACATTTTCCAAATGTAATCACACAGATATATTGGAAAAAGTAAAGGCAGAAGGCAGAATGATATTTTGTTTTTAGGTAACAAAATGTAAAATGCACAATAATTGACAGAAATACTTGGAAGAAAATTCCATGTATTGGAATTATGTAATAAATCTAAAACAATCCATGGGTCAAAGAAGAAACCTCAAAGGAAAAGAGGAAGTATTTTTAAATAAATGATAATAAAAACATAACATATCATTTGCATTATGTGTTGGAAATGCAACAGCTTTAAACACTTGTAATATACAGTAGTAAATATTTCCATAAGAAAAGTGAATATGAAACAAATAATGAAGAAAATAAACACAGAAGGAATGGCAAAAAGAATAGAAAATATGGAAGCAATCAAAAGAGCTGGATTCTACCTACTTGAAAAAATATAAATTGGTAAAGTCTCTTAGAGAGAGAAAAGAACTCAAATTACCAGTATCAGAAATTAAAGAGTTTAGTATGTATATTATATACTGCATATCCTTCTATCTTTATCTTATATACACTAAAGATAGTAAGAATATTAAAAACATCTGATGCCCAAAATAAGGCAACTTAGTTGAAATAGATACCTTTGTAAAATTTTAGCTTAGAACTGACACAAAATGTTATAAAAAAATCTGAATAACTCTGTATTAATGAAGTTGAGTTTCCAATAAAACCTCCTCCTCACCCCTCTTCCCTACAAATATACAAAATTATCCTCAAGGTGTGGATTTTATTTATAAATTCTATCAGATGTTCTAAAAGTAATAACACCTTTTAGGAAACATAAGATGAAAGAATACCTCCCAATTCACTTTATGAGCCCAACATGATCTAAAATCAAAATCTGACATATGTCACAAAAACAGTATATTGCCTAATATCCATCTTTAACATAATTTCAAAAACCTTTAGCAAGATAGTAGTAAATTGAATACCTCTGTATGTATGTATATGTATGTATGTATGTATGTATTTTTGTTTTGTTCATGGTAGTGCGGATTGAACCTAGGGCCTCCACATTGAGCTATCTCCCCAGTACCTTTTTATTTTTTATTTATAGACAAGGTTTTTTAAGCTGCTAATTTGCCCAGAATAGACTTGAACTTGAGATCCTCCTGATTCAGCCTGCCTGAGTGCTAGAATTACAGGCGTGTGCTACCACACTCAGCTATCACAATGTATTCGAAAATAATGTATCATGAAAACTGAAGTTACCCCAGAGATGCAAGAATGGTTTAACACTTAAAATTGGTCAATATAAATCATATTATGGACATTTCAATGGGTGCAAACAATTTTTTTGAACAAACTTCTCACAAAATTTTCTTAATCTAATAAGCTACAATAATGACAAATCTATAGGTAAAGTCATATTTAATTATTTAACGCTTAATAACTTTCTGTTTAAGACCAGGAACAATGTTAAGTTTGCTAACTCTCAATATTTCTGATGAAATTGTACCGCAGGCTCTAGCCATTGGTATAAAGCATAGAAATGAGGAATAATTATCACAAAAAACTGTTGATATTTTCAAATGACAAGATGAGTAATTATCTAGAAAATTTCTAAGTAATCCACAAAATAATGAATAAATTAACATCTCCCCAACAAAAGTTAATCTAAAAAACAATATATTTCTGTATAGTATTTTCAAATAATAGATGAATGAAATAGCAAAATACTCTACTTCCAAGGACACTACAGTTATTAAATATTTAGAAATATGTTGAAGACGACCTAGTGCTGTACAGTGTAAACTATAAGAGATATTTGACAGAAATTAAAGAAGACTTAAATAGAGTTATAACTTTAATACCTAACATTACTGAGGTATCAACTAAAGAGTTTTAAATGGATGTATAGATTGAATAAAGCCCCAAATAAAATTTCAGCAAGTAATTTTTTCTGGAATTAACAGGGGGTTCAAATTTTATGCAGAAATGCAAAAGAACTTGCATTCTGACCTTTACAAATTATTGTTTTAAGTACACACACTTCATGTGTATATTGTAGGAATTAAGAAGTAACCTTAAGGAAAGGTGCATAGAAATTGCTTAATAAATATTATCTTCCTTCATGAGGAGATACATAAAATATGCAGACTATGAAAATATTGTCAATATATTCATGGTATTAGGCTTGCATTTCTACATGTTACCTACAGAATGGATGGACTTGTTAATTCTGTATTTTTGTTGGTTTTTTGTTTTGAGCTAATAGAGCAGAATCTTAATTCTGCAAGTGTCACCCTTCCCTTTTACGTAGCACTAGATAACTTTCCATATTTCTGATGTTTGCGGCTCTGACAGCACTGTTATCTGCATCTACAGGAAAGCAGTGGAAATTAAGAGCAGCGATGAAGGCCTGAAGGCATTCAGATGATTTGGCTACATAAGCCGTCACGACGAAGCAAGTTTTCCCAGTTCATACCTCATTCTCCAAAATAACTTGGTTTAATATCTACTTTCTGTCCCTAAAATTCAGTTTAAAAAAATATGTTTTAAATTTTTCTTTTGTTCAGATGATTCAAAAGTCACTAACATATCAGATTTCTTTTTACAGTGACAGTTTAAAGGTCCAAGAACTCCAACTACTCAAAATAGGTATTAATTCAAGAACTAGAGAGCTATGTCTATAATTTTTAAGCAATTGTGAGATGTGGGCTGATGTTTGAAGAGGAAGAACCCATGTACTATACAAAATTCCAACAGCTGTAGAAATTCACTTTACCAGTAGTTTTTACAAAAAAATAGGATACCATAAGATAAATCTATAAGGTATTAATTCACAACAGAACCTACCTTGATTTCAGAAGGTGAAGGATTAAAGTTTTCCTACTTAGTCTCACTTCGTACAACACTTCCTCTTCATATGCTTCCTGTAAGACAAGATTCCGCGTGTGACTTCCACACGCCCTTGTTTAGTGTAGGCTGAGGGTGGCCAAGCGGAGTACAGTCAGTGGATGGTTGATGTCCAACCCCACACTGATCCAGTGCCCCAACAGCACTTTCAGGGAATAAATCCCCATAAAGCCGAATTTAAAGAGATCTAGATGTATAAGGAAGATGTAACTCAAGTTATTTTTTAATTAAAATTTCAGAGGATTTTTGTTCTAGTTATAAAATAAAATGGAAAGTGTATATTTTCCCTTCATCCAGGAATATGCAAAAGATTGTATGTATACACACAATCCCCTACAAACACAAGTCTTCTGAACATGAATTTTTTTTTTCCAGTACCAGGAATCGAACATATGACCTTGCGCTTGCCAGGCAGGTGCTGTGCCGCTTAGCTAAATCCCCAGTCCCCTGAATATGAATTTTTAACAATTTTGTGTATACTGATTCATAGGCTCCAATTTCACTCCAAAAATCAAGCCCATTTCCTATTTTTATAAATGTTTGGGGCTGGGGATTTAGCTCAGCGGCAAAAGCGCCTGCCTGGCAAGTGCAAGGTCTTGAGTTCGGTTCCCGGTACCGGAGAAAAAACAAAAAAAAAAAATATATATATATATATATATATATATATATATATATATATATATATGTTTTTCCATAGAGTGTGTTTTAGGATTGCAAAGCACAATGTGAACAAAATTTTATTTATTTAGTCTTATATATAAGAAATTTAGTTTTGTTTATCTGAAGTTAGAGTTGCATTGTCAACAACATGGGGAAAAAAATATAAGCTTTCCATAAATACTGACAAAATCTCCTGAAGAAAGAAAATACAAACTTAGAACTTCACCAGCAATGTATAGCAATTCCAGTTTGTATATTATTAGCTGTAATATCTACTATTGGAAAGCTACATATCCTTGTCAGTAATAGATATGGTCATTAATAAAAGACTTTAAAATGATAGCTTATGGTGATACATTTTCGTCTTTGAGAACCCTTAGCATTGATACTTTTCATTGGTGCAGTTCATTATGTGTGACTTATATACAAATTTCCAATTTGTGTGGTTTCAGCACTTTCTTTTGTGGTATTATATTATATTGTGTGCACTAAGAAATCTTTGCAATTTAAGGTTCGTAGTTGTTGGTCATGTATCTTTTATATTTTCTAATTCATTGTCATTTATTTAACAGCTATTATCTCTTATTTAACAGTTATTACCTCAAGCACAGTGAAAACAAAAAGTGTAATAGTGTACAGGATGGAGGCCCTTGCTCAAAAGAAGTTCCAACCTGGCAAAGAAGAAAAAGAAACAACCCAGTAACAGTGCATGGTAAGAATCGTAATGAGAGAAATGCAAGTGCCCTCTCAGCAATACAGAAAGAATCAGGCATAGGCAGGTAACAGTACATGTAAAGGTCCTGAGGCAGGAAGGAGCTCAGCATGTTTGAGAAACCAAGAGAAATTCAGTACTGCTGGAAAGTCCAGCATGAGTTGAATGCAAATGAGAAGAAAAGCTGTAGGAAAGAGCTAAACAGCTTCATTAGTAAAGTATTTAGACCTCCTCCTAAGACCAAAGAGAAGCAAAGGTTTTAGGCAGAAATATTTAGAAAGCACAATGGTTTATGGTTTACTTATTCTACTTAATGGTTCTGCAAAAACAAGTACTATAGACAGGCAAGCCACTTAAAGGGTGTTGATAGAATGCAGATGATTCCGACAGGGGAATAAAAAAGAATAGGTAATTTCAGAAGATATTCACAAGCTAGGCTCTATAATCTTTTTAGTAAACTTAATTTCATTTGATTTTAGAATTGTTCTAGATCTAAAGATTACTTGGAAAGAGTGTGTTGTGTTCACACACACTGCCCTCAGTTTTCTGTCTTCTGATATCGTACACAACTACGATATTCTTTCACAACTGAAGAATCAAGATCGATACACTATTATTAAAGATCGTTTTGATTCAGATTACATATGTGTTTACTTGATGTCCTATTATTCTCTCAGGATCTCATTCCAGACACCACATTGTACGTATTTGTCATGTGTACTTAATCTTAAACCTGTGACACTTTCTCAGACCTTCCTTAATGTTGATGACCATGACGTTTTTAAGTGTACTCGGTTTTGAAGTGTACTTGTGTGAGGTGTTCAAAGTTTTACATGTTTTCCTTATGGTTAGTTTGCAGTTATGAATTTTTATGATGAAAACCACAGAATGAAGTGCCATTTTGGGTCGGGGGGGTACTGGGATTCGGCCAGGCAGGTGCTTGTGCCGCTGAGCTATATCCCCAGCCCTGAAGTACCATTTTCTGACTACATATGCAGTACACTCTGTGAACAAGACCTCACTGATGACATTGGCCTCGATCACCCGACAGAGGTGGCATTTGCCAGTGATTTCCTCGTAAGATTAGTCTTTTTGCTCCTTCTACTTCCTGCTCTTTGAAAGAAAGTCATAATGCATGCCCCACACAATGTTGAGGCATTGTGCTTTGCCTCCTGAAGAGTGGAGTTTCTACATAAATTGATTCTTTTGTATCAAAAATGTGTCTATTCTGTCTCATTTACTTAGCTATGCATTTACTTATTTCTGTCGGTATGGGCTCATGGATCTTAACTTCACGTTACAGTATGAAGCCACATTATTTATTTTGCTACTCAAATTGTCCCAGCTGTGGCCCTTGGGATCTCTTTTATTTGGCTCTTAGGTTCTTTTCTCTCTAGCCGCATGTGATTTTGGAGTTTTGTTTGCTTGAGGTATTTTCCCAGCAACACAAGATGGTTGGGGCTCATCCTGTGCATTTTCTACCCGCATCCAGGCTCACCCTGTGTATTCAGAAAGGAACTGTTAGTATCAGGCCTGAATAAGTCAAACCCACCAGCTTCCGCACAATGGGTGATACAAAGCTGGTTTTGTCCCTTACTGGGTGCTAAACTTCAACAAATAAAAGCATTTGAGAAAGTGAGAAAAGAACTGGAGATGAAGAGAAAAAAATTTAAAAAGAAAAGTTGTTGGAGAAAATTAGACATGACTTCCAAAGGGGAGGGGAGGGAGAGTTGCCTTTATACAGTCTCAGTGACCAGAAGAAAGCGGTGTCAATAGGACCACTTGGAAAGTGAAATGTATCTTCCTTACGGCCAAGAAACAGAACCAAGGAGATCTTGGAAAACCGTCCAGTGAAGGGCAAGGAAGTAGATGTCTTGGGAAAGATTCATTCTTCCACAGTTATTGGCAAAATGCCTGGCAGTATTTTCTATGGGTCAAATTTTAAACCTCAGTTCTAAATGCCTAAAGATAAATACCTAAAATCATTCGCCTAACATCTTTTATGACAGTGGGAATGGAAAATAATTTGGAAGCTTGCTCCTTTTCACATCTTTTATCTGTTTTCTATAATGAATATCCCATCACTTTTGAAAACAATGTTAAATATTTTAAGATTTTAATACCTGAATAAACACTCTTGTAAGTGACAGCCTAAGCAGGACTTTTTGTGGCTGTGAATGTTTTTCAACTTTGCAAAGCTATATGTGCAACAAGTAAACCTACATGCCAGATCTCTGGGAAAGCAAACTAAATCCTGGAGATTACATTCCAGGGCAGCAGCACAGAACAAACGTGACTGCTTCAAATCAGCCCGGAAAGGTGTTGGTGATATTCCTCCCGAACCAAAAAACAGAAAGCGGTGTCCCCTAAAAGTTGAGCTTTGCTCTCCAACCCTGGAAGGGTGGTCTCCCCCTGCACACATGCCATAGGAGGGCAGGAGTCCTCTGAAGATAGACAATCTTCTCTACTATTTGCATGTGTTTGGGGGCCAGAGGCAGCTTTGTACACGTGTGTGGGTGCAGGAAATCTTATCTACTAAAAGGAAAGTAATACCGGTATGTCCGAATTATGAGTGTGTTCAAGATCTCGCTTGTGAACAAAAGGAAGCTTTTTAGCATGAGCCAGTTCTGGACCATCTGCTCCAAAGGTGACATTTTCTGAAAGGAAACACAGGGGAATCCACCGGGTTAAATTTGTTCACAGTGACTGGAGAACAGAAGTGTTCTCCCACGGTTCCCCTGCTCCCACCAGCAGCCACGTACGTGCTTTCGACTCGCTCCCCAGGTACAGAGATTGAGAAGGATATTTACAAATTACAAAAATATAAACCACATTGGAAAGAGGTAAAGACATGCACATTCCTCTCATCTTCCGTGTTTTCACCTTGTTCTACAGTTGTCTACTTTCTTTTCCTCCTTATGCCAGTCTGGATGCTTCTTCCTTTCAAAGCCTGTGCTGCAATCTCCTGTTTAAACATGAACTGCTGAACTTTGTCATCTAGCAACATTTGCATTTGAAGTATTTAGTCCCATAATTAAGCACATGGCTTCCACTTGTTAGAGAATTTTAGGTGGGCCCACACTATTGCTAAACTTAATCTTCAATTCCTGTCCTATCACATTGGGAGACAATCTGTGAAGTGATCCCCAACTTTACAGACCAATAAAGAGGAGAGGAGAGAGTAAAGGCTTTTTGGAATAGTCTCTGATTTGAATCAAAGCTTTCCTGATTTATTACCTGTGTGACCATGAGAAGCATAGGTCATCTCTGACCTGCTACTACTGCTCTCATTTTCCTATCTGTAAAGTGGAGAAGATAATACAGAATTTTGAACATTCCCACATACAATATGGCCAATGGTCACCACAGTGCCTGCATAATGTAGGCATTCGGGAAGCATCAGCTTCCTCCTTCTCCGTACTGTGGGCTGCGGGGTTTAAGACTGATACCGTATTTCACAGAATCATCGGATTTCTTGACTAGCCATCACCTAGACCAAGCACTACAGTACATCCTTTACAAAAGTCACCAATCCATACATAGCTCATGTTTTTATCACTTAAATTTAAAATTTGTGGCTAAAAAGGCATCACTTTGTACAATAAAAAATCCTGATATGAAGAGTAAGACGTGGGATGGGGATTTAGCTCAGCGGCAAAGTGCCTGCCTGGAAAGCGCAAGGTCGTGAGTTCGGTTCCTGGTACCGGAGAAAAACCAAAAAAAAAAAAAAAAGAGTAAGACGTACCTTTCATCTGAGAAATGAGTAAAAGCATCAAAAATATACACCTGGGTAGCATTCTGAATGGTTCTGGCAGAAGAGGGGTTCATAGACCTGAGCACAGACGTGCCCCGCTCCCTGTCCTTGCTGCTGTGGCAAGGATGCGGAGTCTGACAGACAGAAGGGTGGTTTTGATCCAGCTCGAGGAAATAAGTGCTCTTCGATCCAGTTACACAACTCATTAGATGCCTGAGGCTAAACCTTATGGGTTGGACAAACTGTACTAATTAAACAAAGCCACAGATGTGGTGGTGGTTTGGCACACATTCCTGCTTCTTGTCTAATATCAATCTGATTGCTGATGTATTAAAACTTCAAAAGTGAGAAAACCAAGGATGTATTAGAAAAAAAAACAATCAAGAATGTCTTAGAAAAACATCACTGAGGTGTGTTTATATATACACTTCGGGTGAAGGAGGTGAAATCTTTGCTGTGTAGGTAACTGCATGTAAAATCTGTAAAGGAACACTTGATAAATAAAACAGAAGTACTGAACTTTTATATATGTGAGAACCACTTGTTCGTAACAACAGAGCACACACACAAAAATTCAGAAATATATATAACATATAGAAAGAAAGGTGGGGTAAGTATCTTTGCAAGACAGAATTTCTTCAGGGTAATATGAAAGGGGAAAGGAATAGGAAAATGCACAAAGCACCGGGACAAACCTACTTGCGTGGCTGTGTTTCCTTGTGGTGCTTGAAGGTGTTCCACTGTCAACACAATCACTATGTCTGCCCTTCAGATCTTGTTTCCTTCTCCAGTTCAGTCTCTGTTTAATATTCCTACAGACTGAAGCAGTTCATATCCAAAGGAAGCCTCTTCTGGCATCTAAAGCTTTATCTTCAATCCTGTATCCCATGTGTCCCCCATCCCTTTTGGTGCCAATTCTTTGTCCGCTTGACATCTTACCTGGACTTCTTGTGGCAACTTTCTTATGTCTGATGAATCCTCAGAGATGCATTGTGACATCTGCCTTTGTCGTTCTACCGGACTAGCTCACTCATTTATCCACCGATGTAGCCTTTTCTGTATGCAGCGAATATTTTGGCCACTTATCTGACTTGCCCTCTCAACAGCATTTGGCACATTTGCACACACGGAGCCCTTGAAATAGTCTGCTTAGCCCCATGACAGGACAATTGTCTCTCTAGCTCGTGGGCAACTTACAAGCATACACATTCTACCTGACCTCCATGTTTTACAGTTTCTCAAAGAACTGTTTTGCCGTGGAAAAGAAACATAAAGAAACCATCAGAAGAGTCTCTCACTTTGCCCCATTGTCACGTCCACCTTACCATTAGCGGTTGCTCTCCAGGAATTATTTGGGTAGATGGGGAGGGAGCCTGAGTTGGGGAGAGACAGGAAGGAAGTGGGGGGAATGGGATGGGAAAATGATTAAGTTGTGACTTGTATGTGCACTGGCTCCCCAAGATGCGTACAGTTATCCTTGCAAATGTGTACTAATGAGAAGGGGGAAAGTTGTTTGCCTCATATTTTATGCAGGTTCTGTCCACACTTCTAAAGTCTGTCCAACCTTGGACATCGAGGACTATTCTTTTTCCCCCTCAATGTCAATCTTTTACCAACTGTTTCCTTTATCTATTGTATCATCTCAATTAATATATGTATATGAAAACGAGATCGTTTTTTGCTATTCTTTAAAAAAGTTCTTCTGTATCACTCTCTCCCTGTATTCAGCTACTGTTTATTCCTGGCTTGTTTTAACAGTAAAACTTCTATAGCTTGTCTCCATTTCTGTCCAACTTTTAATCTTTCATCTAACTATGAAATTCTTGTCAGTATTACCAACGATCTCCACTATGTTGAATTCAGTGATTGACTATCATTCCTGTCACTATATCTGTTAGTAGCATTCAACAGAGTTGATCATTTCCACTTTTGAAAAAAAAAATTAGCTCCATATAAATCATGCATCTCTTCCATGTTTATTCACTGTTTGTTCTTGGTCTCTTTCACTGGATCATCCTTCTTTCAGATTCCCAGAGCTCAGTTCTTTTTTTTTTTTTTTTTTGGTTTTGGTTTTTCTCCGGTACTGGGAACCGAACTCACGACCTTGCGCTTGCGAGGCAGGCGCTTTTGCCGCTGAGCTAAATCCCCAGCTCCAGAGCTCAGTTCTTAAAAATTTTCCCTTCTGGTCACTAATGAGTTGGTTGCCTGCCAAACATTTGGCTTTAGATCTATAAAGTAACCTCTAATCTAATCTAACGTCTGATTTCCAGACTCATAAAAACAGCTGTTTCTGATATCTTAACTGCTCTATTTAATAGATATTTCTAACCCAAGCAGAAAAACAGGTATCTGCTCTTGCTCTCCAAAATTATTTTCACAGATTTAGATATCAGGACTCCATCCTTTCATTACTCAGGAATCATCTTTAGTTCCTGTCTTTTTCCTGCACTGTATCCATCAGCAAATCCAATTGGTTCTATCCTGAAAAGACATTGAGGCCGTGACCAGTACTCACATTTACTTCTGTGCTAACCACAGACATCATCGTTTGCAGCCTAGAGAAACAGCCTCTGAATTTACCTCACTGTTGTGCACTGTCCATATGTCCTCCAAAATTATTGTATCATATGATGCCTTTGTGCAAGCTTTTTCAATGGTCTCTCATCTTGGAGTGTTAACCAAAGTCCTAGGATGACCTCTACCATCTGTGTGCTCTATCTTGATGTTCTCTGCCTTCACGTCTTACTAGTTCCCGCTTCACTCACTCTGAGCCAATTATTATATTTCTTAAGCATTTAAAGAGCACACCAAGCACACTCTGCCTTAAGGGTTTTGCTTGGTGTTCCTTTTACATGGAGTGTTCTCATCTAAGGTGGTCACAGGTCCTGCTTACTCTTTCCTTCAGGTCTCTACATCAATGTAAACTCATCACTGAGGTCTTCTCCAAGCACTTCTGTAAAAATAAACTTTTCCACTTCCAGCTTGGCAACTCTAGGCCCTTTGTGACCTTGCAGGAGTCACAGTCCAACATGCTGTACATTTTCCTGTTTGCTTTTTTAATTTCTTGAATCTCTTCCTTAAAATATAAATTCTGTAAGGACAAAGATTTTGTCTGTTTTCCACCCCATCTTCAGTTCCTGGAATATTAGGTTGTCAATAGATTTTTACTGAACCTGTGCATTAACACATTTATAAACTTGAGGTGCTACATATAATTATTGTGTTAGAATTTAATTTTAAAGGAATTTATATAGTAAATTAAGGTACTCATTCAGAGTAATATTAACTGGGTTCAACTCCCACTGCTTAAATTTCCTGTAGATTTTAGACAATATTTGGTTTTTTAGTGTTTCAGTTTTTGTCTTTCAAAATGAAGATAAAAGTAGTATCTAATTTGGAGGAGACATTGTGAAGAATAAGACAATGTATGTAAATAACTTAACAGTAATTCCTCTCCCATATTAAAGCTAAATGAGGATTGATTTCTTTAATTCTTTAAAAGCAGTTTCGGTGTTCAACTTTTAGTATTTTTACTGCTTTAGCTTCACTCATTTCTGCTCCTCTCCTCTCTTTTCCTTTCCTCTCCTCTCCTCTTCCCTCCCCTCTCCTCTTCCCTCCCCTCCTTTCCTTTCCTCTCTTCTCCTCTCTCTTCCTTTTTCCCCTCCCCTCTTCTTTCTTCTTCTTTTTCTTCTCATTCTTCTTCTTTTCCTTCTCATTCTTCTTCTTCTTCTTCTTCTTCTTCTTCTTCTTCTTCTTCTTCTTCTTCTTCTTCTTCTTCTTCTTCTTCTTCTTCTTCTTCTTCTTCTTCTTC